TTATAAAATTAATAATATTATCGCGATGACACAAAATGACAAATTTCTTTTGCATATCAGACAAGTCAAATCGTCCGTATTGATCTGTGTGACCAGAGAAAACGACAAATTAGCTTCATATTCGTTCTTTAATTTTTTTTTTTTTTTTTTTTTTTTTTTTTTTTTTGTCTGTTTTTCTGTTCAATGCGTTGTGCAGCCCTTAAGGAGCTGGGAATTACTCGCACGGTTCCGATTGTGAATCTAATTGTGTCTTTCGATTTCTGTAGGATTCAAAATCTGGCGCACTGAAGAAATCCAGCCGCTACCGCAGTCGCTCCTTGTCGGCCAGCAGCACCGACAGTTACAGCTCCGGTATGATGCTCCTTTCATGGAGTGTTTCTCTATCTTTCTCTCTGTATGTCTTTTTCTCTCTCTCCCTCTCTCTTTCTGCATAACTAAATAAATTTCTGTGTGTTTTGCTTCTCCTCAAAGAAAGCGACTTATCTTATCTGGGCTTAGTCTTTTGCTTTTGTTAATACTGTGCTCTAACATCCATCTTCTCGCAAACGTTGAAACGTGAAGAGTGTCACATTCTAACGCGTGTACGTGTCTGTAGTTTCTTATCTCGTTGTGATTGTTTAGAATTAGTAGTGAAAAAAAAAAAAAAAATTAATACGAGTGACACCGCGTAGCCCGCTGTGAGTCTGCACTCTTTTGATGTGGTACTAATAGTCGATGTTCCTCGACGTTTGGCGCTATCTTAGCCTCTTACACAGGAAGCTCTTCTGACGAGGATGACGTGTCGCCGCGCGAGAAGATCCAGAAGACGGAAAAGGGCTTCACGGATTTCTGCGTGCGCAATATCGATCAGCACGCCTTCGGTCGACGAGAAATCGAAATCGCCGAACAGGAGATGCCAGGAATCATGGCGCTGCGAAAGCGTGCGGCGGACGACAAGGTGTATCTCCTACGATCTTTCGGAAGGAAGACGAGTATTTTCAATCGGAAAAAAAAAAGAAAATGTTTCACACAGCGAAATCATCTAACTGCTTGCTTTGTGTGTAGCCGCTGAAAAACGCCAAGATCGTGGGATGTACTCACATCAACGCGCAGACGGCCGTTCTGATCGAGACGTTGGTGGAACTGGGCGCGCAAGTGCGATGGGCCGCGTGCAACATTTACTCGACGCAAAACGAGGTAGCCGCGGCTTTGGCTCACGCCGGGTATCCGGTGTTCGCGTGGCGTGGCGAGACCGAGGAGGACTTCTGGTGGTGTATCGATAAGTGCGTGGCAGCTGAAAACTGGCAGCCTAACATGATACTGGACGACGGCGGTGACGCCACTCACTTAATGCTCAAGAAATACAATGCCATGTTCAAAATGATTCAAGGTTTATCCTCTGCTCTTTCTCTCTCTCTCTCTCTCTCTCGTGTGTGATGTAATAATAATTTTAACATGACAGAAAACGATAATTGTTAGAATAATAACATGGTATAATAATCTAAATAAATAAGAAATGAGATGGGAATTTTTTATGAGGAGACGCTATATTTTTGTTACTTAAAGATAATAATAAAATGCCGATTTTTGCTCTTTCAGGAATTGTCGAAGAGAGTGTAACAGGTGTACATAGACTGTATCAATTGTCGAAAGCGGGTAAACTGTCTGTTCCCGCGATGAACGTGAACGACAGCGTGACCAAGACGAAATTCGACAATCTCTACAGCTGCCGCGAGAGCATCATCGACAGGTTAGTTACATTAAATCGTTTCGCGAAAAAATCTAAGATATATTTCGTGCTTACTCTGAATGTGACTTGTTAGTTTTCAGCACTTATCGAATTTATTACTTATAGTTTGAAAAGATCCACCGACATCATGTTCGGAGGCAAGCAAGTTGTTATATGCGGTTATGGGGAGGTTGGGAAGGGATGTTGCCAAGCTCTCAAAGGCTTAGGCTGTATTGTTTATATCACTGAGATTGATCCCATATGCGCTCTCCAAGCCAGGTAAGGCGCGCTTTGCTTTGCTACCGAGACCCGTAGCTTCCACGGCTTCCGAGATATCGTTTAGTTTGATCAGTCAGCAATCATATATATGTATGTGTTTATTGTCGCGTTACAGCATGGACGGCTTCAGAGTGATGAAGCTCAATGAAGTCATTCGAAATGTTGACATTGTTATTACAGCGACGGGCAATAAAAATGTGGTCACGAGGGAGCACATGGACAAGATGAAGAACGGATGCGTTGTGTGCAACATGGGCCACAGTAACACGGAGATAGACGTCGTATGTTTTGCTTTATTTTATTTATTTCCGGGCACGCAGATTAATTCCAAAAGCGACCGATCCGAGTTTACTTTACCCGGGTGGGAGATTGAGAATTAAAGTTAATTTATTTCAGTATATATGCGTACATGTGTGTGAATGTATGTATGTGTGTGTGTAGAATAGTTTACGCACGCCCGATCTGACTTGGGAGAAAGTGAGATCGCAAGTGGATCATGTGATTTGGCCGGACGGTAAACGCATCGTTCTGTTGGCGGAGGGTCGTTTAGTAAACTTGTCGTGCTCAAGTATTCCATCTTTTGTTGTGTCAATTACTGCCGCTACGCAAGCTCTAGCCCTCATCGAGTTGTTTAACGCGCCACCGGGACGATACAAGAGCGACGTTTATCTGCTGCCAAAGAAGATGGGTACGTGTGCAGTTTCTCTCTTGTATTATCCAGAGATTCGTATCGTTTAAAAATAATACGCAGTAAGCTATATAATATCGATCCGCAGATGAATATGTCGCGTCGTTGCATTTACCCACGTTCGACGCGCATTTGACGGAATTAACGGACGAACAGGCGAAATACATGGGTCTCAACAAGGCAGGTCCGTTTAAGCCTAACTATTACCGGTTAGTATCAAGTTTGGGATTTTGGCATGAGATAGATTAATCAATTTTGCGTGTGTGCGTGTGTGTGTGCGCGTGTGTGTCCATAAGCCTATTTGTTACCTATCTGTGGATTTGTTTCAGCTACTAAAAACCCAATGGACGAGTAATGTGGCATTGACTAGCACGTGCGACACTCACTGAGCGTTACACACTTTCACCCACACGAGTTTATTAAAAAACCAAAAAAAAAAAAAAAAAACAAAATACTACACCAGGCCTTTTTCCTTTGTGCTGAATTTAATTTTCTTTTTTTCCCACTGATGCTCGTTTTATTTTCCGTAAAATCAATAAAAAGAGGTTTATTTATGGTTCAACCTTCGTTGAGAAAGTTCCGCGCGCAACATGATTCCGTTGTTATGTCCGTGCTAATCATCCACAAGGAATGTGTTAATAACACGTGTTGAACCTACTGATCCAGCTGTTATACCCAGTAATCAATATGAGAAACCAACCTGGGATTGGGGGCAAAGTGTTTTTGTAGGACAAAACAAACAGTATATAAATACTCGCAAAGTATACATCTTATTTTCAAGTGCTTGTTTCAGGTATTTGAAATGTCAAAATGTTCAGACGTAAGTGGGATTTGTGTGTAACCATCCGAATAAACGTCGTGATTAAACAGTTGTGAGAGAAAAAGAGAGCTTTCTGAAGAAGATAGAGTTCGTGTCACGCAGTATCAAAGCCGCAAATTACCTACATTGTAGATACAAATATTATATATAGTTTGCAAAGTCAAAGAGTGTGGTAATTGAACAGTTGTGTATCTGTCCATTATACATAGATATTACCTTTCACAAGTAAGTTACACAAGAGTATTCTCTAGTTCGTAATTGATACAAAAAAACAAAAAAAAAACAAAAACCATTTTAATAGTATTACGAGCGAAATACACACAGGACATTCCGCGCGTGTGTCCGTGGTGCGTGTGCATGTATATATGTTATGTACACACGCTTGTGTAGGTTTGTAAAAGATCACTCCGATCTCCATCGAGACGATTTGAGACCGAAAAGAGATCGAAGAAAAGTTTAAGAGTGTTCGGCCGCTTGATCGATTTTAACTCGATTTTTAATAATAAACATTCTCGGGCGATATATAAGTTTTTAAATATTTTACAAATTTTCTTACACGCGCTCTTAAATCTTTTAGAATCTTTTTACACGACAGCCTCTGTGTACAAGTCACATGTACATAAGTTATGTACATACATATATACGTTCGACCACTTCTCTAGTATATTATTGCAATGTGCGTGCGCGTGCTGATGCACATTAGTCAATGAATTTGTTGTGCCCTTATATATAGTAATGAAATTACATTTAAAAACAAAAAAAGAAAAAAAACGCGCGGCGTGCGCGCTCTGAACGATCAAATTAGTCCGCGACTATTTATACACCATCTTTTTCCCCCGGAGAGACGCGGAAGAGTACTGTATTTTACAGGTGACTAATCCAAGAGCCCCGTGTATATATATAATAAAAATTAGTTAAGAAAAGAAAATCCATCAAATAGGCGATAAAATAAATTATCATAGATTATAGTCTGTTATTATCTGGTTATATCATTGTTACCTTTGCCTTCGGGTTTGACAACAAACACGAAGGAAACGATTTGCATACACCGTACCGTTTTAGAGAAAATAAACGCCTACTTACATTTAAAAAGAACGGATCGTGTGCAATAATTGTTGTTCTCTTTCCTGTACCTCTTATTCTGCGTTCAGTGGAAAAATTTACCATGTTTTATATTTACCGCAAAAAGCACCTGGCTCGATTTCCCGATAAGATCCCTCAATTAGATCGAGGCCGGGATGAATCAACATTTGCCAGAATTTCTATCTGGGAACAGATCTTGAAATAGCGGGGTATAAACACACAAAATTACACACAAAACATATATATAACTTAGGAAAGAATATACAAGACGTTTCAATATAAATGTTATATATTTCAGCTTAATAGTTTTTATAAACTAATGGCTTTTTGTCCAACAGCGATGTCTCAGAGATTTAAAGAAATTTCAGTAAAATTTTCTGTGTTCAGCGCGATCCGCGCGTGTGTGCGCGTGTGAGTATTAAAAACAAAATTAAAGATGGCAGAGCTTTGTTCTTTTTGTTTTTGTTTTTTTTTTGTTTTTTGAGCTGTCTGAAGAACAATCGGATGGCAAGGTTCGGCGGCATGGCGTTACACAATGGCAAATACACTATAATAGCGCGACAAGGTTTTGTTTTTACGCTAAGGGCGCGAAAAATTTTTTGTAGTACGTATTAACATAAATAATAAAAAACCCAGAAAAGAAAGAGGAGAAGCGGTAAAAATATATTTTACAATATACTGTACAAGATCGTTCTCTCTAAGTGGTGCAAGTATTGATTCAATGTCGTCATTTATATATATGTATATAATTAACAGCATGTTATATATCTGATCCGTGTGTGTGGGTGTGTTACGTGTATGAAAATACAAGATGGACTGCAAAATTTTGCAATGGCATTGTGAACCAACAATATGAAGAATGTGCGAATACATTGCATCAACAAGTGAGTAAATGACCTTACAACAACCGTTTTACCCTAAAATTGAACACACTTAACGTAAGAGGAGCTCGAATAAAAGACCGTACGTCGTAGATAAAGGTAGCTTATATATATACACATATATGTACGTATACATATGTATATATATATATATAAGTCAATAGTATATTTATATATATATCTGTTGCGTTATGGTAGCGTGCGAAATTTATATTACACATATAAAACTGCAATAATATGTACAATTAAAACGAGTTTACACAAGTCATTGCACTCAGGTTGCGTTTAACTTAAACTAATCCGTTAACAATCGTAAAAAAATTCATCATCCGGAAACGGAAATAGAAGATTTGACATTTTTCAATATACGTGGTATTCAAATTAAAAAAAAGAAAAAAAAAAGACATTCACCGCAGCAGCTCCGTATTTTTGTAACTTTCTTCCCCCGTAATTTCATTATCTATCAAACCAGCAGTGAAATCAGTAACCATTGGTTTTTTTTTTTGTTTTTTTTAAACAGCAGTTCACGTCATCGTTTAACTAAATTATTGTACAAAAGATTACTTGTTTATGTAGAAAAAAAAAAAAAAACGAACATTCGATACTCTTCGATTGTTTCAAAGTAAATTAACAAAGATTACAAAGTTTCAACGACATACACAATAGATCTAAATCATCACGTGTATATAAATTGTCTCAGTAGGTCCTTAGACGTATAATTACTTATTAGTTTCGTAGGGTTTCGCTAAAATCTCGCTCCGTTACATTGCGTTCGATGTATAATAAAGTACGTTTTTTTTCTTCTTCTTTTTTTTCTCATTCGTTTATAAATACGTAACAAAAATAGACAATAATAGATATAGATACACATATATATATATATATCTATGTGGGTGTGTGTGTATATATATATATTATATATGTATATACAACGTGTAGATATGTAAAACTTAACAAAGTACGCGTGTGTGTGTGTGCTTAGTTGCTCTTCCAGTGAATTGATTGAAAGCTTCCGTCCCCGTATTGTGACACGAGCAGACGCTTTTAATATAATTAGCTTTAAATATATATTCGCTTTAGATATACATATATTTCTTTAAGATTTCGCGATATTACGCCGTATAAATCTGTTGCTAAAAACTTCATAGGAATCGTCTGACAATTCAAAGTGACAAAAAATTCACACGCAAATGTACGTTATATGTTATATATATATATATATATTACATGAATCTCGCGTGTGAAAAATAGATCTGTTCATTTTAATCGCACTTTTTACAGGTTGTTTTGACAGAAGTCGATTAAAATTGGATTTACCTGCGACTAAAACACTCGTCACGCGAATCGAAACCTTATGTGTGTGCGCGCGCGCGATTAAGTTTCTTTTGTGTTGAATTGTACGAAAAGTTAGTTAAAAATCACACTAGCTCTAATCGTTAGATTCCGTCTGACGCTTTGCGATCAATTTATAAATTGTTCTTTTCACGCGCGAAAATTTGTAAAAAAGTGCAGGTAAAATAAACGGATCTCTGTAGAAACGTCGCTCTATTGACTTGGGATTTCACAATTCGACTTTCACAAACTTAATCGTTGTGGAGACTAAGCAGCACTTCAAACGCAACATATTGCAATATTTTAAGCGATACATCTCTTAGTAACAAAAGTACGCGTTAATGTACGTACGACTACTAAGCTCGTTTCTTTTTTTTTTTTTTTTTTTCTCAATTGAAAAGCTTCACGACGCAAATGCTCGATCGCAAAACTCTCTAAGTGTTATTTCGCAAGTGCAAACAACGTCGTTTCCCGTTTCTCGTCCCGTCTCGCAGCCAAGGTGGCGAAGAAGTTCCTTTTCGCACAGCGGAAATTGTTTGAACTTGCAAAAAAATAACTGTGTGTGCTCAAGCACACCCTTAGGCCTTTCTTTATTATTACATTATGAATTTTCGTCTACCCTAATTACAAACAAAGTAAGATACTGTCGCGTGATCAATAAATGATGTGAAGTTTTTTTTTTTTTTTTAATTCAATTTAAAAAAATGTTTGCTGTTTGTTTTTTAAATAGTATAAGATCTGCAAATGCAAATTGATCAGCAAACTGTTCTCCTCTCTTGCTCTTGGAGAAAAATCTGTTTTTCATGCGTGTGTCATCTCTCTGACGAGTGTACAAAATCTCGAGTACGCTGTGCGCAATTAATTAAAAACTATTTAAGAATATACAAAAGAAAGGCCTATTTTGCGGAAGAAAGTAGAGTCAATGACTAGTTTAAGATACATATTATGCATACATATATTCTTACATGTCCAGTAGCGCGACAACACGTTCTGCAATACCACAATTGCCAATTGATCGAAAGTTAACACGGAAGACGTGTTTTTTTTTTTTTTTTAGTACGTATTCTTATTGCCACACCCCCGCGAAGTAACAATCTGTATAACTTATAATATGTTTGTTATAATTTATGGCTGTCCTGTGTTTTAATTTGCCTGGGTTGTATAAAGAAATCTGAAAAACTTTCACTTTTTTTCAAATCAGAGTAAATCAGGCCCTGTTTTTGATAATTTTGGTTACAATTTAAAAAAATTTTATTATTCAACAACTCGAGTGGAATTTTTAACGGTAAAACACACTTTCCCTGCCTGCGAGTTACACACGTCATCTTATCTCACATGCAATTAATCTCGAGATACTTGCAGACCACCTGTACAACCAATTCCGCTCAACTTTGTTTCTTATTCCGATATTATTTTATAAAAAAAAAAAACATCTTCCGCGAGATACAATAAAGTATACACCGCGGAGGTAACAACAATAATAATTGCTACGCGCAAGAAAAATACACGGATTGATTCGGCAACTGTATGTCAGAAAAGAACTTCGATTGTTCGTGCGCGCGCGTCTGCATAAAAAAAAAAACATGATCAACTTGCATAGAAAATTGGAAACTCTTCATTCAACTGGTCGTTCTAACGACTTTCGTTGTAACGAGGTTGAGTGTGTGTAACACACAGTTTTTAAACAACGTTTGATTTTATTTATAAGCGAATAAAAAATTTATATTCGTGTGGGAGTATGAAATTTCTAACACAGCGATCGGAAACTGTTTCGGAAGAATATTTGTATGCACTTGTCAGTTTGCTTTACAATATCTGAGAATCAATCCTCATCATCAACAGTTTACATCGGAAATGACGTTTAACTCTCAATCATTTGTTTGCAAATTTGTAAAAAAACTGTGCTCTCTTAAAGTTGCATCAATATGTTGTCAAGCACCGTCGGTAGGTCACTTATCACTCTTTGAGGGAGTAAATTGAAGATTTTTTTTTTTTTAATTTGGAAACTCTTATGAATTTTTACACTTTTTTCCCGAATTTTCGAACGCAATACAAAATAGTTTATCAAATGATATATCCCAACATTTTCATAAACTACACGAGCTATTAAGAGATATTAACCTAAAAACGAAGCGAGGATGGTTTTTTTTTGTTTTTTTTTTTTTTTTGCTTTTTTTTAATAAAGGAAACACATTCTCTCACTCGCTCTCATTCTCTCGCGCGCGTGAAAATATAAATTCTTAAAATTTATTTACATTACCTCTCTTCTCTACAAAAAAAAAAAAAAAATGGCAAAAAAATCTTCTCGCAAAATTATCCGCAAGAACGTGATCGTACTGCCTTTTTTTTTAAATACTGTGTGCTATCTAGTTAACTGATTACTTTGATTATGTCGACAACGATAGGCTGTCTGTCGATCTGAGTATATACGGTTATCTCATATATGTATATATATTTATATATATGTATATATATATATATATATACACACATATATATATATATATATATGTATTGGTATGTGTTAAAACTCATTTATCTACGTCCTATTTTTCATATATGGCGCGACAAAACCACGTATTACACGAGTATGATAAAAAAGTTAATACAGTTTATATGTATAATATATATATATATTAAATAAATATATAATATATATATCTTCTCGAGATATTACATGTTTGTGTCGCCTGGACGTATCGTTACGTACTATGCGTCGATAGTACTTGGACGTGTGCTATAATAAACGCGGACTCAAGCCGGACAATCAAACCGATCTTTCTCTGTGTCTATCGAACATGTAGCAAGACGTTACTTAGGACAGAAATTCGAGAGAACTTAGCAAATTTCTATCGATCGTTAAAAAAAAAAAAAAAAAGGCTTCATGCCGATCTCTCTCGAGAACCGAGACTTCTTGGATTTGCTAAAAGTTAGGTACCACTCAGATCAGTCCAGTTTGTGCGCGACCCATCGCGACCCTCTGTCTATGTTCAGGCCTATTTACAACATCGTGGTCTTCGGCTAGCACCATCGATCTGTTTTTGTTTATCGTTTTTGTACCGTTTTTTGTTTTTCTATGCGAATGTTGGCAATATAGTTCACTCACGCACGAAGAAATCAAAGGTTGCAAGAGACCCTTTGCATCTCACTGAATCGTACTTGGCACAACTGTCACCTTGCTGTACTGCTCGTCTGACTGATTGGACATCGTGGGTATCAGATTAGGATTTTCAGCGATGGTGACGTAGCCGGATTTGTGTTTCGTGATGATCGGCGTCCTGTTTGGTGTTAGCTTCGCGTTCAGTTCTTTCTTCTCCGGCGCGGCTGGTTTCTGCCAGCGTGCGGGATACATAGCGTCGTCCTCGTCGATGATCTCCTCTGCGTCGCTCAAAGATATCTCTGTCTTTTCTTGTTGCTGTTTCTGTTGCAGAATTTCCTGCATGAAATTCACGTCTAGTTTCGATGACGCATCGCTCGACGACGTCGGCACGTGCGAGTCGAGGAACGTCTTCTGCGGTGAAGATTCCTGTATGCTGCAAGCGGGCGACCTCGTCACTTCGGGAATTGTCGTCATAGCGACGTGCGGTTTCGTCGAAGTCCACGTTGTGTCGGTTAACGGATATGGCAACGATGTTGGGGTCGCAAACGGAGTTGTGAACAACGGTTTGCTGTAAGAATCCGTGAACGTGCCGAAAGTATTGCACAATGCGGTGTTACTACTTACGGGCGGTTTAATCGAGCGTAAATCGAGCTTCGGCAGTGACATATCTATGAGACCCGCTTGTACATACGATTTGGATGATTTATCAGGAGCATTTAACGCGAGTGAGTCTAGCTTTAACTTTCTGAAGGTATTGCCGACAGGTTTCTGTTTTTGTTTCTGTTCAAGCGAGGCCAAAGATACGTATGAATTGTTCTTGTGCTTAACATCTGGTTTGATCAACGTGTCATCGTCAATGTCCGCCGTCACACCAACGTTGTCATCTTCCTCAGACTTAGCTCGCATAGGCATGGATCCAATAACGCTATAACCAATGCTAGCGGCGACAATGTTCTCACGCGGTACGGGGCTCGGATTACTCGACAGCTCCTCGGAGGATGGCATGCTGATATAACCGGCGCTGGACCACGTGTGCGACGTCGTGTAGCCCGCGCTATTTGTTAAATTAGGAGTGGATTGCGTCAGTGACATGGTCTCACCGAGAACTGGCTCGGATTTGGTTACTGTAATGTACGAAGTCCAGGAGTTGGGCGCGGTCTCTGTACCCAAATCCTGTTCCCGCACAACGTTCCTCAATCGCAAATTACTCGACGTGTCCCAGGTTGGATGTGTCTCTAGCAATTTATCCGGTGATACAGGCATAGGATCCACCTCGGTGCCACTATCGCTGGAAACTTGAGATTCCGCTGTGAGGGAAGAGGTTACGGACTCTTGGCCGCTCGAACAACCGCTCGAGTCGGCGGACGGTTGTCGTATATGCTGCTCATTCGCTTTATTCTGCAGCAATTTCTACGTACGAATAAGAAAATTCATTAGTTTCCATATTTGTACACAAAAAAATATTAGAGAAAAATAGTATCGGGTCAAATTAAATATAAAACGTGACAAATATACTTAATAACTCGATATGTGTGTGCGTATGTGTATAAATTTGAAATATCTCACCACGTCTGAAGCGAGTCCGGGCGGTAATCTCACCTCAACATCTTGCATGTCCTGACATTTCAACCACACCCTATGAATAAAACGTTAGAGTATATTATTAGCATTATAATTATAAAAATCTTGTGATGAGTATATTAGAGTACATATTCGAGAGAGTACATGTTCGAAAATTAATGGATTTATTTGGAAAATAATTTTAATAGAAATAGATTTTTTTACCTGTTAAATAAGTATATGAGGAATATGACGACCGTTATAGAAATAATGGCGCAGATCACCCATAAAAACACTTTTATACGTGACGACGGACCTGTTGCTTGAAGAGAAAGAAATTTATGATTTTATTGCACGGCTTATTGTTTTATGTAAAAAAAAACAAAAAAAAAGACTGATCACTTCTTCGCAAGATATGATACTAACTGTCACTTTGATAACAATTTCCCTCTCCGTTCGACCAAGGTCCTCTCAAATGTTGGTTGTTAGAATCGATATTGACAGCTCGAACTCGAAATCTGTACGCCTTGTCTTGATCGACAGTTGTGCAACCAGGAATGGGGAGTTGCATTTCTGCAATAGAAACAACAACATTATAACGAAGATAAGATAAATAAATTTTTAACTTGTTTCGTACAAGTGCGAATCACATCTTACCTAAATTAGTACTGTTTTGAATTATGCCGTCGTTTGTCTCCACTTCGTAATACGAAGCGTCCAACGGCCCGGCTGGATATTGCGGCACGTCCCATTTGACGAGCACCAAACTAGAATTTATGAAACGCACTGCAAGCGTGCTAATTTTACTGGGAATACCGATTTGCGTGCGTTGATGTATAATCGGTGACTTTGGGCTGCACGCCACGGTACAGGCGGTAACACTGATATTGTAATACGCGTATGCCGATAGGTTTCTTAACTCGACGTGATTCTCATCCTTCTCCACCTTGAACGGCAAGTGATCGTTGTAATAGACCTCGTAATACCTAAGCACGCCATTCTCCGTTTCTGGTGGACTCCAGGTGACCAACATGGTCGTATTAGTAACGACGCTGACAGTCACGTTTCTCGGAACGCTGGGCGCCGCTTCAAGCGTGGTGTTCGACATCGGATTGCTGTGTTCGCTTTCGCCATTCTTGGTTAACACCGCAACTGACAGCATATACGTGGTGTAAGGTTTCAGATCTTTGATAATAGCGCGACTTGTGTCAGGATCTCCTTTGATGGTGCTGTTCAGTTTCGGGCTTTTGCAATTAAAATTATACGGCGATAAGATAGGACAGTAGTAAATGTTGTATCCTATAACCATTCCAATGCGATCCGAGCACTCGAACTTCCAGCCGACTTCGATAAAGGTGGAACCGACGCGATTAATGTACAAAGATTTCATCTTGCCGACCGTTTGGTTGTGAATCACCGTGCACGATGCCCATACCATTCCGCTACTGCCTCTTTTAGTGTTTAAGGAAATAGCAAACTGATACACCTTAGCCGGATACGGTACGGTCATGTTGTAAACGGTGGTAGTGTTAGACACGTGTGTCCATTCCAAGTAACCCTGCAAACATTAGTCATTTCATGCATATAATTGTCACTTTTGTTTGTGTTTTTAATAAGACAAGCGACGTTTTAAAAATATCATTAAAAAATAGACACGCACTACACACTGATACGGACGATCGCGCTCGTTTTCGCACCAAAAAATTGTGTAATTCGTAATATCCTCCACGTTCGCGGGCGTTTTCCAAGACAATTCGTACAATCCTTTGTCAAAAGCAATTTTTGTGAACGCTATTGGTTGTGGCGGCGCTGCAAAAGAAAATTACATTTATTTTATGAGCGTTACATATTTCAACTTTTTTCATTTGTCTTTTTGATGTATACACTCACGTTTACGTGGCACAAATATTGTAGACTGATTCTTGCTTCTGCCCTCTTCGTTTGCCGCGACAATTACGAATTCGTAGTTGCTGTCCGCGTTGAGACCCTTGTATTCAACGTAAGTCCTAGTCATTTCACACGCCGTGTGATTTACGATTTTCTCTCGGCCATTTTCCAACATACGTATAATCTCGTATTTAAACTTATCGCCGTTCTCTTGATGCTGCGGTATCGTTTGCCAGTACAAAATCACGTCCTTCTTACCGCTAGCAGTTCCAGAAGTTTCAAAGCTGCCAATATCGGTTTTCGGTGCAGAACTAGGTACTGTAAAAAAAAAAAAAAAAAAAAAAAAGCAAAATAGAGAAAATTTTATTTCTAAACTACTACATATACATTTTATTTACAAACTTACTAACTACTACACAGATATGTGATAAAAAAACAAATTTGTGATTCTGTTTCTTCTGGTTTCAATTACCTGTTGGTAGCGTCCTAAATGTAATCGAGCTATGTTCGCCCCACAAATCATTTGTATTATACGCACTTTTCAGAGAAACGCGCACGTCATACACTGTGTTGGCATACTCCAAGTTCGCGAAATGATAAATTTTTTTTTCTTTTATTTCTAGCTTTGGTTTCTGCGTAATAATAATAACCTAAAAGAGCGCAAGTCAAATAAAAAATTAGAATTGAGACGCACATGGATAAATTGTTCAATTACGATAAGATAAACAACATGTTTAGAGATATATCGTAGGATCTAGTGCGGTCTCACCTTCCAACTTTTCTTATTATCCCACTGATTTTGATACATAATTCTACTGTGCAAACCAGGTGGAAATAGTTTCACAGGATAAGGATAATCCCACATGAGCGTTACGCTGTTCTCTGTTCTATCAGACACGGTTAAATTCGTAGGTTTGTCCGGTATAACTAAAAATCAACAATATATTTACGATTAACGGTACACAATTCTTGAACACCGCTTGAAGTTCAATAATACGCAGAAAGTGTTACGTACCATTAGCATAGTGTGAAACTTTGTATGTAAAAGTGACATTTTTTTGCAATTCATTATCTGCTATCAATATAAATGTATAATTTACGTATGGTTGTCTGTAAATCGGATCGGTGTAAGCATCCCATTTACACGTGTTCGGAGGCCGGTATTCATTCTCCTTCAGAAGCGGACAAGGATAACGACCGGTGCCTGGCTTGGTACCCAGTCTAAACGTTAGCGAAAAATTCGTTGGGATGGGATTGTATACCGGATCCCACGAGCATATCATATTCTGCCAGTTCTGTGATATACAACTGAAGTTTTCTGGCTTTTGGGGTCGATCTGTTGCGAAATGAAACAAAATAAAATTATAATATACAAGAGAGAAAGAGAGATGTACATTTTTTTTTTTGAAGATTTCTTGTTGCGCGTACATGTCGGTGCGTTACTAAAAACATGTTACTTACATCCAACCCAAACTTTGTTGATACAAACTGTCTCGGGGGGTCGTTTCGGATTTTTTAAGATTAATCCGCAACTGTACGTATAATCGCCTGCCGGAGGTTTTCCGATTTTCATTGATATTGCTGTCTCATTGATTACAGTGATGTATTCACTTGGGACTGATGGTTCACCCCGATAGAATCTGAGATTCGAGGCGTTTTGTCCTGGAAACTGGGTATCTATGACCGTTTTATTTAACAAACAAAAGAGTTTCAGCGAGTTGCCGTATTCTACAAAAACATCACCCGGCGGCCACGTCCCTGGAAACGAACATGACAACAAAAGCACCGTTATAACCGTGTATTTTGTTGTTAAACATTCGCTAATTAGTATATGTGTATTAGCATATGTGTTGTTAAAAGATAACATGTAATGTATGAAAATGAGATGGATTTATGCGACACATTTGAGTGTGTTTGTATTCTAAATACATTGATGTATATAAAACTCCGCATTGCTGGCGCATTAAATTTAGATGCATTTAGCGCGCGAACGTCAGAATTCCAAAAGGAGAGACAAGATACGTTTTATATATAATTCTAAAACGTAGAGGCGGTCGCCTCGTCTTCTCGTGCGTGGGAGAAACAAGAGACGCATATTTGAACAACGTCTTCCATTGAGCAATGCGAATATAAAATTTATCTCACCGACAAGCGCAATGAAAATTGAAAACAAACAAATGAGTCAGTTGTATGTGTCTCTTTCGAGTAAGTGTAACGATTAAAAAAAAAAAATGAACTTACATCCTGGCGTTTCCAATCCGGGTGCGCATCTCAGACCAGCACATTGTGACACGCACATTATACAGATCAGGAAAACGATATTGATTCTCCGTGCGATCGGCGATCGGAACAATCGATCGTAAAAGCGCTCCTTCGCCGAGAATATCCGCGATCGATGGAAGTATCTTCTCGCGGTGCTGTTCGACGAAGATGAATCTTCTTGTTTTCGGTGGTTTATTATACTACAGTTACATGCGGAGCGATTAGTCTCCTCGCTCGACGACGACGACGAGAATCGATCGACAACTGAAGAGGCACTGCGAAGTGATAAGGTATTATTCTCTGTCGAAGAACAAGACGCGTCGATCCGCGTTGTTTCGTCCGACGCCGTCGCTTTGTTGTCTTTTTTGATGGCAAAATTGATTCCGGACGCGTCGCAGTCGACAATGCACGTCGAAGCAACGCGGGACAATTCCGATGTACCAGAAACCATGTCCGGAGCGAATCGGCATCTACGCCTCGACGAACTGTCCGATTTGTGCGACGATAAATACCGATTCATTTCCCCAGGTGATCTTCTCATACGTTGATCCATTGTGTATAGACTCTCCTCTCGCTTCTTTCTCTCCTCTCTCTAGTCGTCCTCTCTCATCACTGAAAAATCAAGCGAAGAGAAATTTGTAAAATCTGATAAAATGACACACGCAATCTGAAATTCTCGCGCGCTAATTTCGTGACTAATATCTTTAAAGCTGATCTGTGCGATTCGCCGAATCTTGCTTTGGAGATTAAACGATTTATAAGAAAATAATGTGTTCAACACAATATAACGCGATAAAAATCGACAAAGTTCTAAAAAAGATCGATTGGACAAACGAGATGCGAAGCGCGTTCGAGCTAAGCTACAACTAAACTCCGGAGCGCTCGTGAGCGAGCGCGGTCTAAGAAACACGATCTAAGGAATAGGAGAAAGAAATGAATGAGAAACGTCGTTTAGTGAATTTAGGGTCGTGACATGCGAGGGAGTGATAATCTTCAGTAACACGAGCTTCCGATAAATCGTTATTATATATTTCATCATCGCGTTCATGCTTACGATGGCGTAAATACATAGGCCTCGGCGGCTCGACGTTTTCTCATGGGATAAAACTCGCAAAGAGACATTGCAAATGTTTAATACACAGTGTACATTTTTTTTTTAACATACACACAAGCGCGAGATACAAAAGACTCTTGTTTGTTAAAATTGCAAATTAGATATATGTGAACAATAAAGCGTATGTGATTTTTTTTTTCAACAAAGTTATAAAGAAAAAATTTTATAAAACACGCGAGAGACTCGTTTGTTTTATAAATTTTCAGAAGCGATAATTTTATAAACAGCACGCTGTGCGCGATTGTAATTTTCAAATAATTACTAAATACAGCGTTCGCGCGCGAGGAAAATTCATTATTGTGCAACGATAGTGTGCGAAAAACAAGATTTTGCAAATATGCAAATACGAATCGAACATGTGTGTCATTATCGACTGCGGACTATAGAAACAGGAAAATTGATTACTTCTTATCATTGTTTTTATAATTTCTCACCGGGGACTTCCACGCGCGTACAATATCTTCTTACAACACGCGTGACGTTTACGCTTTTGATATCGCAAAAGAACTATTTAAATATGCGAACTATTTAATATGCGATACACCGAGTGCGGTTTTAATTAATTTTTGTTTTACACTTTTGATCGGATTGCGCGCCCGCTTATCGCGCGCTTCATCGAGAGAATCCAATGACACAATGATCGCGTATCACACACACGAGACGGACGATCGATATCTCACGGTCGTGTTGAAAACAACACAATCGAATCTCGTTATTCGTAAAGCTTTAACAAAATCAAAAGATGCGTATCACACGCGGCAAAAAAGTATTTATCTCGCCGATAAATCGATCGGCTATTTACTTCGATTTAATCTCTCTCGAACCAGCTTCCATACGTCGATTGCGCGCAGCCGTTGAACCGCGAGAGAGAGAGCGGTTGGCAAATCGCGGAATAATAGGGAAAACTGATAAGAAGGTTTCCTTCTTAATTGCGCCAAGCTGCGATAGCTGAACTCTCCTCGTTCCTCGACTCTTCCCTCTCGTCGGTTCTTATCGTTCGCACTGGCCGATCGAAAGTGAAAAGTTTCGTTGTTCATTTTCACACCCAATTATATTCCGTAAATGTAAATTTACTCCGCGATTTCAATCCAATTGTGTTGTAATCGAAAAATTATCGCGTCGTCGCGCATTTTCGTTCAAAACGAACGAACATCAGTCGATCGGAATGACAAAAACATTTGTAATTTTAATGACAAAAACGTTTCTGTCTCGCTCGTGTGTCGTCTCGTTATTTTTATTCGGAACGAGATACAAATTTTACTTTTCAATGTTACATAACGTGTTCTATCGACGACTATCTGTTGCGCGCGCGCGCGACGAGAGCATTTTGATAAGAAAATTACAAGGAAGCCTCTGTGCGTGTGCTGGTAATTAATTTTTATTATCAAACGTGATACTTTTTTTCACCGATGACATTATCCTTCTGCTTTTTGTTTTTTTGTTTTCAACTTCAGGGGAAGAGTTCTCGATTGACGTAATATCTACTACGCGTCTTTTCCCACGAGCGTTTCTCGCTGATAACGGCGGGCGTTTATCTCGCCGCCGCGTGCGCGCGTTACTTGACGTTTTCTATTCATAAAAAAAAAAAAAAAAGATTCTTTCCCAATCTATTCCCGGACTGTGTTTTCGATGAAACACGTGCGTTGCGTGCACACACGCGCGCGCGACCGCGGGTCGTCGTCGACGATATCTGACATGTTCGTGCAACTCTGAAATGAGACTTGTGTGTGTGCGTTCAAATATGATAATACGGTTAAAATCTACGAATTACGAAACGGAACCGATGGTTCCTGTTAAATAGAAAGTTTCCGAAAGAAACCGTCGCGCACACCAAGCTACCGAGAATTGCTCCGTAAATTTCATCAATTTCGTCCACAAATCGAGATCGCCAGAAAACATCGCTCGGCGGATTCGCGCGCTGCAACACGCGCGGGCGTCTTAGCGAGCGCAGCTTGTGTATTTATATCCCGCGCGCGAGGGCAGAATGACAGATTTCTCTAAAAATCACACAAGAGAGAAAGAGAGAGAGAGTTTCACGAGAACTCGCGACCGGGGTAATGGCGACGATCCGAAACACGTAGCGGCGGCCGCACACACGCGGATGACACTTCGCGAGGCGACGAAAAAGAAAAAAACTTTGCCGATTTTAGAAGAGAGAAACACACACGCGTGTGCGACGTCGCATTTGTATTTTTTTGATATTCGCGCGAGAGAAATAGATGCAACGCTGAAAACCGCCTGTGTTGTCGATATCTGAAGAGATGGGACATTCCGAACAAAGCGATTTACACGCGGCGTTGTTTCATTTTCATTTTCGCAATGTGTGTTCGAAAATACAATTCCCTTTTTGAAACTTGAAACAAATGTATTTGAATCGGTAGTTTCTTAACAATCGCGCGATATCAGCACGATACTGTGTGCGTGCGTGAGTGCGCGCAGAGAGTACGTGATATTTCAAACAAGAATTTCCGCGCTTTTCTTTCGAAACGAGATCAGACACGTATCATATTTGTCTCTGATACTGATGATGATTTCAAGTAATCGTCGAAAACAACTGATTATTTGTTGCTCGTCGATTTCGGTGAAAAATCGACGATTCATTAGAAACGTTCTCTCAATGCGACATTTGTTCTCAAATGATTTAAAAATCCTCAGAATCGCGCTCTCACGCAAACATCGAGACTTCTCTATAATCAGTCGATATCGATACCGAGTAACGACGACGGTGTGAGATCGTTATTTGCGATCGTTCGCGAAAGCGAATAATCTCTGGAAAAAAAAAAAAAAAAAAAAATCCAACAATCTCCGGAAAAAAGCTGGGTGCGAACGTGCACAGGCTGTGCGATCAGGTACGTGCCACTGCTAATCAAAGACTGTTTATTGCATTGTTTGTTGAATCGCTCCGACACAATGGGATGTAATTTAATTAACGTAAAAATTAATTAGCTCAGCTATGTCGCGCAACGCCGGATTACATCTGAAAAGTGGGCGAAATCAGATCTGCGTTTTAATTATTATTTAATACAATTGCAAATAATTCGTTTTCATAAATTCCTGCTCGGACAATCGAAGCGAAACAAGAGATTTGAAAAATTCAAACATCCGGGTAAGCTCTATTTCTTATTTGCCCAGATTTAAATCTCTGTTTTCGTTTTGATCTCACACACAACTCTCGACAATATTTCCACACCTTCAAATATCACATCCCCCCGCTGAAGAGGATCTCTGTCGCTTTCTAAAAACAAAATGCATGAGAAATAAATTGACAATTTGCGTCAAATTAAATATTACGAATATTAAAAATTTTTATTTAGTCTTATATATTTTTAGAATATTCTCCGACTACGAATTCGCAATATATAATTCTTGTCGCGTATTCGAATGTCAATCAACGTGTTCTGTAACACGATACACAAGCGATTCGCGTGTGTCGCATAAAATCTCAAATGCAAAATACACGGATCTAAAAAAAAAAAAATTTGTAACGCAAACTTGTGTGTGACACATTATTGTGTGACCACCGGAATACATTGACCCGTTGGGAAGACGTGAGAAAAAAAAAAAAAAAAAAAACTAAGGTTTCGCGTTATATATCGCGCGTACACGCGTGTAACCAGAAAATCGCGACATCATCATCGCGAGGACTTCATTTTCGCCGGGAGAAATGCGAGAAGAATTATTTGCGGTTCCTTCGCAAAAGTTTAAGACACACTTTGGCATTTTACGAGCGAGACGTCACATCTCGTTCTGCCGGCGAAGGTCGCCGTGGCGATCCCCGCGCGTTACACACGGATGCGCGGATTTGCAGTCCGGGATGCAAAACATGTCTTTCGAGTTTAGAACGTGCACCGAGGAACGTGCAACGCGCATTCCGAAAGCATCTCTCGACCGTTCGCGCTTGCATTTCTTCGTGTTACAAATTTCTCGACGCATTTCTCCACCAAAGGAACAAGTGACGTGACGGAAACTTCAAAGAGACCGGGAAAGCACAACAGTTGGAAATATAAATAAACGCAACTGAAATAAAGTGTGTCTTCGCATTACTTCGCACTTTGCAATAAACCATCTCTCCGGTTCAAACCTGGCGGTGTGAAATTCTCATTTCTTCGACACTTTTTTATTTTACAAAATTACCGAGTACCTAAAAACCACCATAGAAACAAGTTTAATATAAAATTCTATGCGTGTCAAAGTTTTTTCTTCACGCGAGAAAGAATTAAGCGAGATCTCGCTCACATTGTCATTGTATTGCAATTTGCGTTTATAATTTTCAAAAGAATATCCGAAGCAAAGCATTTAAACGCAATCCGCCTGATGCAAAAGAAACAAAAAATGTTGCCAAGCGAATTCTTTAAAAATTTCAGAGAAATATTCCGCGTTTTCCAGGAAACCTCGGGTTCTAAGGGAAAGAAATTATCCTCGAGTTTTCCAAGTACCTTAGGTCTGAGGTAAAAATTATTCAGAGTTCTCCGGTATCATTGTCGAAGAACTCCGGGTTTTCCATCTTCTAAGTGAATTTCTCTTCTCAAATTTCAGAGAAATATTTCGAGTTTTCCAGGAACCTTGGGTCCGAAGGAGAAATATTTCGAGTTTCCCAAGGTCTGAGGGAGTTTAGAAATTCGTCAAAGTTTCCTAAGATTCTACCCGTCCCAGCGGAAAGTTGGGAAAGGTACGACAATAAGCATGTAGGTTCAAAAGACATCAAATTTTACTCGCAGCCAGAAGCGACGAACGACAGAGAGCCCCCCCTCCACACACACACACACACACACACGCGCGTAAACCGATACTTTGCATATACGACACCGCATACTTTGGGACTCACCGACACAGTTGCATCGATAGAAGAAAAAATAACGAGAGTGGTAATTCCAACGCGTGACTAACATGCATAAACACACATGTACGTAACTTACGTTCGTACACCCACCCACACACACGCGCGCGCGCATCGAAGACAATGTGAACGATCATCAATGAACAGTCAAAAGAGGATACGCGGCGCACATGTAGACTAGGAAAAAAATATCCGTTCGTCAGGCATTCGCTAGTTTCTTGCTGGTGGAAAAAAAAAAAGGCGCATAAAAAATATGGAGCTTTGCTGTTGCTCTCACACTCGCGCGACGCGCTCGCGCGCACACATCCGCACACATGCATATCCCGCTTTTAACACAGAAAAGCGCGTAACAAGAAAGAGAGCACAAACACGGTAACACGCACACACGCGTAAAGATCGCGCGCGCGCGCGCGCACGTGTGTGTGTGTGCGTGTGCGTGTGGTGCGCGGACGTCGGGACCAAGTTATTACTCACCCTCGACATAATTCTGTTGGCGAGTTTCCCCACGAGATTCCTCATCACGACGAAGATCTACGCCGTTCGCGGGACGGCAACTCGTGGTGCGCAGCTCGAAACCCGGGTGGGTGTCCAGGAGGCGATCGCGAAAAAGGAGACGAGGAGGTTTTATCCAACGAAGAAGACGGGAGAGACGTGGAAGCACACGCAACGGCGGCGGCGGCGGCTGCGGCGGCGACGGCGACGACGACGACCACGACCGATCGGTACCGTTTTTTCGCGATGTTTCCTCGGCGCGATAACACACACGAGTAAACAAAATACACGCAATCACCCACGTCTCGCGCTCGCAAACGATTCGCGCGTTACGTGCCGCTTCATGTCTTCGCGACGACAGGAATATTGTTTACATTCGGCCGCGGAACCCGTGCCTCTGCGTGAATGCGTGCATTCTGGGTAAAACGCGCATGTGTGCGTGTGTGTGTATACGAGATCAATCGCCAGTGCTATCAACCTGACGGCGGCGGCGGCGGCGGCGGCGACAACGGTGGATATACAACACGAAAATGGCGCCTATGCAAAAGAGAGAATCGCTTCGGCGCGTACGACAACACTTTTTGCGCGGCACTCGCGTAGAAATTCACACGCGACAAACTTCGCACCAACGTCTAACACGCGCGCGTCTCACGTCGCACGCGCTCTTTTCTTAGGTCACACTCTACGGTTGTCTCACGAGCCGTTCGCGTGAATCTTTCTCTTCTCCGCACGTCGCCCGTCGTCGTCGTAGCGAACACGAGAAACGACTTCTCGGTAATGCGCCTCGATCGCGAATATCGCGATTGACGTCACATCGATACATCAAGCTCATTCCTAGAAACGGAAGCGACGCGGTTTCGCGCCTCCGTCGCTAGATGGCACCAGCTTACGGGAGAACACATCGGATGAAAGATCCGCGCGCTCCGACGATCCGTAATTTTTTGTCCCGAATAATTAAAATTGTAAGTAAAAAAAAACTTGTCTGATAATGTCACAGATGTGCAGATTTACTTTCTGCCATGAAATGACGACTGTCGCAATATTTGTATCTCGCGCTAGCAGAGAGAGATCGTGGCTGCGTTTCAAATTTCGTGCATACGAGACTACGGCGCATGTCATAACAAAACCCACTGAAATTCAAAACATTCATAGATTTGTTGATGCTACAAAGGTGTTTACAAACTTTTAAGTTATAAGTTCCGTGTGTGATTTGAGTCTCTCAATTCCGGGGAAACACATAACGGAATCGAATAAATTTTGACGTAGCATTTATTATTTTAATATAAGTTAACAACAATATATAATAATAATAATAATAATAATGTTATACTTCGATAGCAACAATATATATCAATGATTCTTTCTTAATTTACTTCGGATTATTCAACGAGTGTTTTGTTTAATTAAGATATAACGGACATATGTGTGTATATATACGTATATATGTATATATATATATATATATATGTATATAAAACTTATTTTTTATATCTCTGAATTATACCCTCATGTACAAAGACCGGTCATATACAAAGATACTTTCTTAAGTTGAAGTATATATATCGCATGTGTGTGGTATGATATATATATAAAATAATTTCCATATATATGTATATATTATAGAAATTTAATAATTAACATGCTATCTTATATTAAACTAGTCGAGATGCGAATAAAAAACTTGTGTTCGCAGAGGGAAATCCCATCGTTATATTATCGCACTTTCTTTTAATTAATTGTTATTTCGTTCTTATTGCTTGACACGAGCGGAAATGAAAAAAAAAAAAAAAAAGTAATATCTCGGTTACACATGTTTGTCAAGAAAACAAGCAGAACGATGTGAAAGAGATTTGGATTTGTTTCTTAGTTCAACGTAATCGCAATTGACACACGTATTATTGGTTTGCAATATTATTATAGCTTCATAAATTATTAACACATTATCCTGCGGAGTCTTAAAAACAAAACACACACAAGTATGTACATTTATACGAATCCCTTATCATTCTACACACATAATATACAAATATATATTTTTATATAAATGTATATACATGTATATACGCGCGTATATATATGTATATAAATTATTAAAATATAAACAGACGATTAAAAAAAAAAATTAAAATGCGTATTACATGCGATCTGATTAAATGCTGCTGCTTATCACCTGTTTGAATTGTTCATTCGTCAAGTTTACACAATGAACAAGATCAATCAAATCTCTCTCCTCCCTCTCTTCTCTCTCTTTCTCTCTGATATATAAAGTCTGATTGAAAAAAAAAAAAGAATCAGACTTTTACATCAAATCTTGAGATCTAAAAATACAATAGTCTAGTCTTTATACCTTTGTCTCTTGTTTTTTTTTTTTTTTATTTTTACTCGTACATCTTCAATATTCTCCTTAATATCTTAGAAGTAAAAAAATATATATATATATGTGTGTGTTATATCCTTTTATATATATATATATAAACATACACAGTTCTTATAAATATTGAAGAAAAGACAGGAAGAGGAAATACAAGGAAAGCTCCAATATCAAGCTGTATGTCTTTCATCACAATTTTGCTTCTTGTCTCCTTAGTAGACAGAAGCGTTGTGACTGATAAAACAATTGTGTGTGTTGCCGAAAAAAAAGAAGATTCAATGATCAATAATATAAATCCTCTTACGGTAATCTCTCTCGCTCTATCTTTCTCTCTCTCTTTCTCTCTAAAAGAAAAATGGCTGATAAGTGCTTCTTTGGTTGCATAAATCCTTAATTTTACTGATATACATATACATATTTCTCGCGCGTATAAATACTTAGAAAGAAAAGGCAATTATCAGAATCTCTCTTCTTCGAATTGATTTCGAGAACAATCTAATTTTGTCATGTACAAGAAATATCAAACAATTGTTTATAATTCTCTCTTCTCGTAAGATTCATCTCCTATCACGTATCACATAAAAAGTATATAACATTTTAAGGCCACTCACGCACGCAAGTACGCACATGTACGAATCATTGTCTAAAAAATTATAGTTTGTGGTTTTTTTTTTTTAACACGATAGGGGCGCAATAGTTTAAAAGTTTACATTGTTGAACCATTATTGAAAAATAAAGAACGAACATTATGAATTTATATATATAAATTGTCAGTCTACAATATCACCTCATGGTATATATATGGAGGTACAGCCGCCAGCTACCCAAGTCTCTAGAATATACGATATAAACACATCAAATTTACAAAATTATGTATTAAATATATATATATATATATGTATATATTGAGATTATATGCATGTGTGTATGTGTCGAATCTATATGAATTTTGCAAATGAAGAATGGTAAAAGTAATTGTTTACTTAAACGTTTGTTTTTCCTCAAAAAAAAAAAAACAAAAAAAGTAAACAGCAGTCTGTGCACTGCATTTTTAAATATAAATGCGATGAATACGTGCCTCTCTGTAAAATAAACTTCTATATCTTAACGTTGAATATTGGATGAGTGAATTTCGAGATAGAAAAATGGGATCAGATAATTTTCTTAAAAAACGAAATGAACAGATTTTTCTTCATTCTACCAAGTACAACAACAACAAGAGAGATAATGAAAACTAATGGAGATTGCTTGGCAGAATGAAAAAAACAAACCAAAAAAATCGTTTTTTAACAAAATTACTTACAAAACTTTTTTAGCACTCACTCAATACACATTAACTTAATCTTGTATCGCTTGTTGTTTCGAGAAATGCAAGTCGATAACGCACACTTAATACAATATTGTCGATCATAAGTATCTGTGTTTAGATGAACAGCAATTCAATGAAATGGAAAATCGAATTTTCTGACGCTTTTTGGGGGACACACCCGTCTCGGGTAATTTCGATAAATGTCTGCGCGGGATGCACTCATCGCTCGGTCGAATACTTATTTGGTCGATTGTGAGATTACTCTACAATGAACAATTTCAATAAAGGTTTACAATTACTTTACGAAAGCTGCTTTCACGTACATGATTTAATTTTATTAAATATACGAAAACACGCGCAACAAGGCACAATGCTTTCAAGCTATCACACATGTTAGGATGAATTACGTTTATTCTGAAATTAGATCAATAAGAGAAGACTATGTTAGCACCAGCCTAATTTTGTTAGAATGAGCAAATACGATTGTTTATGTATATATAATGTACATATATATACATATGTATATATATATGTATTAAAAACTTTCGCAAGCTGTGTAAGAAACAAAGTTATTCTCGCGTATCAATTTTTGAGTATCCCTTTTCTGTGATTGTAGAATCTTTAATTCGCCTACGTTCGTATATTTCATACGCTCTAGCGTATAATAATATACGTTATACAAATTCAAAAATTGGACTTTTTCTATGCGCCGATTATTATCTTCAGAATTGGAGAACAATTAAGAACTCTATAATTGTCAACTATACATTATTAAATTTAACTCATCATTGTATGTTTAATTGAAGGCAAGTGTGTATATATAGACAATCATTTATACGATTTTAATTATTTTTTTTTAATATATATACAATTTAAACTATTTATCAGCATGTAAATATTCTCAAAAAACGAAAAAAAAAACTATTTTGCAACACTAATTGTACACAAAAGTGACCTATATGTATGAGTTGTCACGAATAATTTATGGTGTGTATTTTGTTCTTATTAATTAAAAAAAAAATATGGTAAGGCTATGTGAGACATTATGCAGTTAACATTGTTCTTATTTTTTTTTTTTTTTTTTATATCTATATTTTTCTCCGCGTGTTATACTTTTACAATCAAATTCCTCTGTGATTGAGACCTTTCTGAAAGCATGAGCATTCTCCATTGTAGACCAACGATTGCGATTCTATTATCGTGTCTACAGTGAACTTAGAAATTGACTTGTGCGTCTGTTAATTGTTTTATTTTACATATAAGTACTATTGCAATACGAGATGGAACCGAGATAAAGGATTACAATAGAGAATTTGCGAAATCTTTCAAGGATTTTGATTGTATTCTCATCATCAATGTTGAAAGCACAGCGTGCTTAGTTGAGATTCTTTCTTTCTTGTATAATTGTCTCTCTTTAATTTCCTTCTCTTTGTCCGATAACTAAATGTTTTACACTCAAAAAATCTTTTCTCTCTCAAATCGTCGAAAAAAAAAAAATAATTATACAATATCATAAGCATTAGTATTATCAAAAAGGAGGGGAAGATATCGTTAAATTAAGATTAATATGTTATGCGTGTCTATCAAAAGGTTAATTGTCTATATATTCATATCGTAGAGATGTGGAGGAGCACCTACCACTGAAGGCATTTGACAACCACGTCGTACTAACAGACGAACAGATGGTCCACCGTTACGTATTATCTCAATCGCTTCGGTATGCGTCATATTTTTGGTATTAATACCGTTTATCTCGATTATTTGATCTCCGACCTAGAAAAAAAACAGAGCAAACATTCGCATACGATATCGAAACGAAAATATTTCTGTGTGACGCAAACATCGGAATTTAACTTACCCTAAGCCGATTGTCGATACAAGCCGGACCGTTTTCAGCGATCTGCAAAACAAACAGCGGCATGTTTTGAAACTCGCGGCCACCGCGTATGCTAAAGCCGAATCCTCGGGTGCCTCGAGTTAATTCCACCGCGTGATACTGGCCCCCATCTCCGTCTCCTGCAGGCTCATCCTGAAAGAAAATAGTTCACATTTTAGACCGACATATTAATTGAAATATTTCTTTCGATGTCTCTGTACTTTTAAATTAATAAAACAATCTGTGTACCTTTTGGGAAAGAGACGTATTGCTACAACAGTCGTCAAGTGGATATCCAATTGTTAACGTGACCGAATAGCCAGAATCCTTAATTAAATTGACGATGTCCTTGTGACAAACATTGGTGATATCTATGTGATTGACAGCAAGAATATGATCTCCGACGTTCAATCTACCACATCTTTCTGCGGGCGAGCCTTCGATTATCCTACCGATTGTCGAACCGGCCTTGTTGACGGATGAGATTATTACGAAACCGAATCCCTCGTTCTCCATTCTCGTGACGGTAACGTCGTACGGATACTGAAGATTGATTTGCCGACCGTAGGAAGGCTGGAAGGTCTCTTGAAGGTGTTCCTGCGTGTTGATTCGTCGTCGTATTCCCAAGGTCACGCGCCCGTTTTGCGCCGCCGCTATCATAAGCTGCACTACATGATGATGAGAAGAATTCATGACGCTCTCTCCGTCGACAGACATGATCAGATCGCCGGTATTAAGTCTATTATCGAGATCAGCTGCTCCGCCAGGAACGATATGACCGACCGAAACCTGCTGACAATTTTCAAGACTGTATGATTTTGTAGTGTATGAAATCAAGTATTGTTAAAAAAGAAAACAAACAAAGACATTTTTGAATCTGATACATCATCAAAAGCTAACCTGAGATCCTTCTTCCGTACCACCTACTATTCTAAATCCAAATCCACTGTTTTGCCTAACCAGAGTCACTACGGTTTCTATCCATTCTATGTCAGGAACCATTGGACAGACTAATTCGTTTGTGTAGTGAGGATACCTTTAATCAATATCGATCAAATGATAAATTTTTTCGATTTTTTAAATAAATCTCATAAGTTTGCGTAAGATTTGCATAACATATTGATAAAATAAAGTGTGTACCGTGCAATGGAACTGGAATGTGGCTGTTCGTGCTCGAAACTGGTGCTTTCTTTCCGTTTGTCCCAGATTTCGCCCGTGTCAACGTTCTGTTCTTGTCCGATTGAGTACACATTGTAATCTTCACTGTACTGGGAATGTGACTGAACGGGATAAACGTCTTTATAGAAATCAGAGTGCAAGTATCCGTTTTGCTTGAGTATGTTGTCGTGATGGGAGATGTCAATGGAATACATGTCGTTGTTGATGTTCAGCTTTTCGTTCGTAGCCCAGTCGCGCTTCGGCACGTTTCTCATGGTATCGTCGTTGAGATTCATCACTGTGAAATTGTCCGATAAATTAGCCGTGATGTTGGCTTTGTACGAGTCGGAGTAATACATCCCGTGGGAGTAGTCGGAATATTTGTAGTGATTATTCAGCGGATTCAACTCGTTTTCGCCCTGCGACACCTCGTTCCAGTTCGATCTACTCGCGCTGGTCGGCGATTTGGGACGATTTCTGGTGTCGATCAGCGGTGTCTTCGGTCTGCTGGGAATCACCGTTTTCGACTGCGTGCTGTAAATATCCGCGGTGGGTGTTTTACTTCTGAAGAAATCCTGCGTGTTCTTCTCCTTTTTCTCTTTCGATTTCGTGGTCGTTCGCTGAACGTATATCAGCGCTTCCTCGCTGCGCGGACAGTCCTTCAACACTTGTACCACTTCCGAGTGACACATATTTCTAACGTTGATGTCATTTATGTTGACCAAAATGTCGCCCTCCATTAAATTCTTGCAACGCTGACGATCCAAGATCTTCTTGACTTTCTGACCGTGAGCTGAGTCCGCTATCGTAAATCCAAATCCCATTGCGCCCTTCACGATTGCGATACTAAGAAATTCTGGCTTGGAAGGCACCGGTGAGTCCTTACAGTCGTTCAAATCATTGCTGTCCGACAGCAAAATATCTGTGCTGCTCGGCCTTTTGATTGTGTTGATTTTGTCCGAGATGCAGAGGTCAGGCATCGAATTAACGGACGTTGTGGCGAGATTCTCGCCGTTCTGCAGACTGTGCACTGGCAAGAACGTGGAGTCCAGGAAGTTGAATCGTCCGTTGTCTTGTAGAGACGAATTCAAATCCATATACATCGCAGGATCTTCTGTTAAAAAGATACAGAATTTGATCTTCTGGTAAAAAAAAAAAAAAATGAACATTTATTAATCGTCGCATTGACTTTATTTACCTGGCGCGTTGACGGCGATCGTAGTCACAACTTCTGTGTTAGGATCATTCGGGTCAAAGGGCAACGGATAACCTCGGCACACTTCTAATGAGACAGTTTCGCCGCTACCGATCGATTTGAACACATTTACCATCTCGTTATGCGTAAATCCTAGCACGCAGGTATCGTTAACATACACTAAGACGTCCCCTGAAATTAAATACAATTGTGCAAAAACAACGCGGAGACCAAAAAAAAAGTAAATAAGCGGTTTCTCTTGTGAAAGAAATTACCAGTTTGTAGTTTTCCATCCAACCACGCTGGACCGTTTGGCACGACGCTTTTGATTTGAAGAAATTCCTCTACGGTGTCATCGCCCCCGACAATAGTAAATCCCAAACCCCTTGAACTTTTTATCAGAGTGGTCCGTATTCTCTGGCCCTTCAGTTTATCGGGATTTCTAGTAAAATTGGGACTCTTTCTCTCGAGCAAGTTCTGCTGCGCCCTTTTGGCTTGCAAGACCGGATTTTCGTACTGAGTTCTACGATTCACGTGATCGATGAAATACGTGCCGTACAGAGTGTCGTCGATCTTCTCCCAACCGTAAGGCAGTTCGTCGTCGAGACATTCTTCCAGAGATCGTTTTTGAAACTTCGACAGACGCGGATCTAACCAGTGAGACGTGCCTGTGTTGTGGCTGTAATGCAATTTTTATCACGTTGTGTTAGATAAGAAATAATTAAAAGACAAAGTCTTCAAGCAAACTTGTGTATAAAAAAATACAACGGAGCAAGCAAATCACGTGACACTCTGGTGTGTGTGTGTGTGTGTGTGTGTGTTGCGCACGTACTCTATAAAATAAATTTCTCCTGTATCCGTGTATGCCTTCTCCCAATTAGGTGGTAATGGGCCTAATTGATCTTCCGTGGCCGGAGCGCGATTCTGAGTATTTTGTTCTTGGTCCGAGGTTCCCGTACTTTGTTCCGAGCCCGTATTGTACAAATAAGTCGGCGGAATTCTATCGCCATTATTTCCACTGATCGTCAATATCTCCTTGTCCAGACTTTCTCCTTTAAAACGAGACAAAACAACACGTGAAAAAAAAACACTTTTGTCACAATATTTATACAAACGTTCAAAAAAACATTATCACAACCATCGTACCGTCGTTAGGATTGTCGATAGACGTTGTATCGTCGGTTTTTGTGGCCATCTTTACATTCGTGTTTTTAAAATCCTGACAAGGCAACTGAAATTGTCACAAGATACGTCATGTGGAAACTTCAGTACGTAATAACAAAGTTTTTTTTGCAAACACAGCTGTGCATATATATATATATATACGCAACACGTAACGCTTCTTTTCATAAAGCGTTTACGTCTTGCGTATATATTTGCTACATTTTCGCCAGTTGGGTAATGAATGTAGCGAGGAAAGCAAAACACGCGGAAAATGCAACCGAGTGGTCTCGACCGGACCGTTCGCGATAATTGGAGCAAAGTGTTCGCGCGCACGTTGGCTCGAACGAAACCGACTCATGCCGGTTCGACTACCACTAACGCTCTCGTTGCACGCGTTCCCTGTATCAGGACGCGTACGGACAGGTGTCCGCGTGCGCAATTACATAAACCAAGGAAAGGAACGCGACCGCGGACGCGAACAGAAGGGCGAAAGAGGGAGGAGGGAAAGGGAGAGACGAGAGGGAAGGAGAAAGAGACGGGGAGAGAGATAGAGAGATAGGAGATAGATAACAGATAGAGAGAGAAACACGCATGGCGGTGCAGCATCGAGCTGCTGCTGAGGACTTGTGTTGCATTCTTACGAATGCATTCACCCGTGCGTGGCGTGCCGTTCACATATGACGCGCGTCATTAAACCCGTTCGTCGTGGACCAGCATCTTCCTGCACTTTCTACGTTCCGAATATGAGGCATGACTTCTCTCCGGAGGAGGAGAAGGGCGAGTTTTGAAAAAGAAAAAAAAAAAAGAAAGAGAGAAAAGAGGAAAGCGAACGAGGGTTCGTTATTTTGCATTTGCGTTGCATTTTTCACACGTCCTTTTTTTTCTGTGCGTTTGAAGCAAAATAGTACAATCAGACCCAGCGACCCGTTTGAAACAGCCGTAACGCATGACCCGCCACGTAACATAAATAATGTTACGCTGGGGGGTGGTAGCTCCAGCAATGCGCGCTCTCTTTCTCTCTTTCTCTTTCCGCCTCTCTCTCTCTCTCTCTCTCTCTCTCTCCCTTGCTTTGTTTTTTTTCTCATAGTTCTCCCGCATCGACGTGGCCAAGCACATGCATGGGGAAACAATGGCACGTAATATTAAATAAGTTTTCCTCCCAACTCGCATCGAGATGTTCGAGCAACCGTTGCTGACTGCGATGCGTCATCGGGATGACAGATCGCGCACTTCAGGAAAATTCCTATTATTTACCGTAGAAAAAGACAGAGAGTGAAAACAGTGAGGAGAGAGAGAGAGAGAGAGAGAGAGAAAGAGAGACACACACACAGAGAGAGAAAGATATGCGCGTGTGTGTAAGGAGAACGCCTTTTCTTCTGTTTTCTCCCGACGACGACGACGACGACGACGACAACGACAACGACGAAAACGACAACGGAAGAAGCAGCGACCCGAGTACTCACGCTCCGCTTCTTGCGCGACGATACGTTCACCAGTAATCGTCATGATTCCAGCAACGGTGGTCCAGCCCGCTACACCCATCGGACCGATCGTCGGCACTGAATCCACTCGCAGATCGAGGAAACGCTCATCACCCAGTCGAAAACGAATCGGTCACAACCCCGAAGAGGGAGAACGAGGTGTGCGCGCAGAAAAAAAAACCGCACTCACTCGCACAAGATCGGACACCGGACTACATCACACCACAGCAGCGCATTCCCGCCGCACTGTCGCTCGTTGCGCGCGTGCGAGGCCATGCGAGACATTTAACCGACCATTGTACGTACATAGAATATTTGCATATGTATTTGTGTGTGGGTATATACATACGCGCGTCTTGCTCCTCTCCGTCCGCCGCACCGTAGAAGTGTAGAGATTGTATACATATTTGCGCGTTGCGCATGCGCCGTCACATGACCGCGTCACGTGGCCGCGCCGAAAAATTCGAAAATTCGCACGCCTGGTTCTCGCTCGTGACAAAAGTTTTTTTTGTCACGGGAGAGAATTTATACTTTTTACACGGATTCGTTTAAAACGTTTGTATTAGCGCAAAAAAATGCCGTACATTAGAGAAGATAGAAATCTATTTACAACAACAACAATAAGGGCGATAAAGTTTTTCTCTCGGAATTTGCAGCATGAACGTGGTTTTGAATTACAAAACATACGTATTATTCGATTTCACAAGTGAAGTATTTCTGGTGTTAAAGTAGAACGTAATTGAAGTCGTCGATGATTTTGTAGCGATCTTGACGATAATTCACCAGATCGTCCAGGAAGCGCGTGCTGCTCTCGTTGTGAACGGTCGTAAGCACGGGCGGTAGAGACGCGATGCCCGCCGTGTTCGCCAGATCATCGTAATAGCGACCTTGCTCGCGGCCCATCATGTGAAAGTGTCTCTTCTGCAGACCTTTCTCGGCGCGTCTAGCCGCTTCCTCAGCTTCGGAGCGTAGCATATCCGCTTTCGCGGGAAACTGCCTGTCGCCGTGCCAGTGTCGTAGGACAAATCGCACCTTGAAATCGCAATGTAAACCGTGGATTACCACCGACGTGTATAATTTCACATTTACGCCGACCGACGCCGGCGGATGCGCGAGAAGTAACTTTCTAGCATTTTTTTTTTTTTTTTTCCCGTCGCACGCGCGTTCCTCTCTCAACTATATAAAACTGGAAAGACAATTCCATACGCTCGGAATGTCCTGTGAATATAAGAAACGCTACATTCTTACCCCGACATATTTTCAAGTCATCGCATTCCGCAGAAGACGCCGGAACATCGCAAATGTCCGAGGACATGAGGATATTTTACGAGAGATTTAAACGCGAAGAAAAAAATTTCAAGCGCAAAACAAAGCGTTTCGAAAAATGATTTTGTTGAATAAAATAAAATAAAATTGTTTATTTTTAATTTAATTAAAAATAATGCGCGCAAGTTTTTTTGTTTTTAACACTCCGCTAATGTCGCACATTCGCGCTCGTCGCAAGTTCTGTTTTTTCTATTTAGAAATTTCAGATAGAAATGTATAACAAAGCATATTTTTTTCATGTACCTGCAAATCGAACATGCTAAAGGCGCAGACGTAGTAAGGAAGACCCACTAGTGCCAGGGTCGGGTTCTCTATAGATACCAGATGCTTCCAAAGGGGTGTAACCATATTGGAATCCACTCGTACTCCGCAAGATTCGGCGAGAAAGGGGAAACTGTACTTGTAACCTTTCGAGAAAGGTCGAAGAATTCGGAGAATGGTTTAATTGTGAGTCATTGCACGGAGAAAACGCGTACGGCACAAACGTCAACGTAATTGTCTCCGTATAACAATAAGGAGACTAATATACCCACCTGTACAATAGAAGACAACGTCAACCTGTTCTTTCGTGCCGTCCGCAAAAATTACCTCGCGCTCCGTCAGTTCCACCACATCAGCTTTCTAAAAAGAAAAGATCGCGACGGCGATCTAAGTAGTACCTGTGTAGCACGCGTATATATGATTTTACCATTTTCCTTTTGGACTCGCTCTTTTTTTGTACCTGTACAACGTTCTCGGGGAACACGGTGAGTACGGTCTCGCTCAGATGATGACTCAGAATCACGCGCTTCGCGTTCTTGGATATCTCCAACGCCAAATCCATACCTGTCGCGAACAAAAAAGAGGCCGCGTTTTGATCGCCGTAAATAATCTCGTCGAAGAATTTGTTGTTTTTTTTTCATACACGCTTTAAAAAACAATAAAATAAATACATCTTCTTTCTACACAAATAACTTTGGAAATTGTATTTTTTTTTTTTTTTTTTACCGGAAGGACCGGCTCCCAAAACAACGACGGTTTTGCCGTCGAAAATCTCGGGAACTCTGTAGTCGTGGCTGTGAATCTTTTCGCCCAGAAATTTATCCCGACCAGTTATGTCCGGAATTCGAGGCTCGAAATAATGACCATTGCACACCATAATCGCGTCAAACGACTCAGTCACGACAGCGTCCTTCTGCAAGTCTCTGACCTTGACCGACCACTTCCGGTCTCCTACGACCGGCTCCACCAACTCCACATGATGCAGCAACTATACGACGTATACAGATAATAATTTACTCTGTGTATTGTTATGCAAAATTTCGCGGGCGTTCGCAAATTGCACTGTGTATATATATTCTTATATTTGCGTGTTTCAAATTCTTCGTCTATTAAATACACCGCGCGTAGTCAAATGCGCGCAGCACTCACTCACCCGAATGCAAGAGCGCAGCGCGAAGTGATCGCAATACGCGTTCAGGAAATCTAATATCTCGGTGCGGGACAAGTAGCTCTCGGGTTTCTCCGGTATTAGGAAATCGGGATAGCCCATTACTTCCTTCGGCAGATTGGTTCTAACAATTAAATATAAAATTGTCACATAGGGCATTTTTTTCAGATTTGCTTTTGTGCATTTTTTTTTTTTTTTTGTTTGCTTCTTTTTGTTCTTCGGGAGGGAAAAGTTGCTCTGAAATTGTACCTGAGGCTTTTGTACATGCTGGTGTGAACTGGCAAGCCGTATCTGTCGGAGCCAGTTTCCTCCCGGTAGACCCAGGTCCCGCCGATTTGGTCTGTTTGTTCGTAGCACACCACTTGATCCCCGGAAGCGCAGTGCCGAAGCGCAGCGAGTCCCGCGGCTCCGGCGCCGATCACAGCGATTTTCATGATCGCGCGGTCGTTATTAGTCGTTCGAAGGCTTCGTGGAACATGAAGAAGTTTAGTCATTAAAAGAAACAGAATAGACGAAGAAAGAGCTCAATAAATATTTGACATAGCACGCGCGTCGAAAGTTACGCGTAAAATATGTTACATTTTAGATTGCTCGCTCGGAGGAATTATATTATTATTATTGCGCAAATCGTGTTTATCTAATGCAATACGGGAGCAATACTCTGCTTATGCAAATTTCTCTGTCGAAACCGCCAGACCAGTTCGACGGACTCGAATTATTTTCAACCGGGGCTAGACCCCTGTGAGAGATTTAAACAGGTTCGAGATCGAAATGTGAACCGAGTTTTTTCTTCGTATAATTTTATATCAAAGAATTTATATTTGAAAAATCTTTAAATTTACTTTAAAATTTGAAAAATCTGTCACTCTCTATCACACCATTTACTCTTAATGAGCCGAATCGGAACAGACAGCTTTATATAAACGCGAGAGTTCGTTTTTGAGTAGATGATAAAACAGACGTCAGTGAAGATAAAAGTTTGATAAAATATGATTTAAAGCAATTTATACTCACAAATAGAAGATATGATAGCGGAGAAGAGATTACACAAAGCGATTCGAAATTTAAAGTTGCGTCGACGATACGTGTGTCGCAACTGAAGTGGAAAACGCAGTCATCGAGTAAAAAATAATCCTCGTAAAACGATCAGTAAGGAAAGACACAAGGCTGATACCGATAATGAGGTCATCGAGTTTAAAGAATCACAAGCGTTCTTTTTATATTCCGACTTTCTTGTACAATTCATCTCGTGTAGCAATAAAACACAAATTTTGTTTTCTACTTCTTAAAATTAAGTAACAAAAATTAGCTCGTACCTGAAATCTCAGAAAATGGAAAGCGGTCATTAAACGAAGTCACGAAAGATGAAGGCTGACATAACACTTACTCCCAACAACACCGATACCGTAGCTTATCGTATAAAAAGCAAAACTTGACCTCCGACCTCGACTAATCTGCTCTGCTATTCTCGACTCGTACAACGAACAGAGTCGCAGTTAAGATCTTATACAAAAAAAAATAATACAGGACAGCTCTTCAGTTTCTCTCGCAGATGGATTGAGGAGATTTTATTATCTGAAATATACATTTTTACAATCATGTAAAAACAAAGTAACACATGTATATACAATTCAGTACGTCTCCGCGTGATGTGGAAGTGTTGCAAGTTCAAATTTAAACGGCAGATGTTTTCTGACTGTTTTTGTACAAATGAACAATGATAAAACGTTTTTTTTCCGAAAACGTTGAGAGACGAACAAAATGTTTCTAAAGAACAAAATGATGACACACATACACCCAAAAATTGATTGTCAACGTCCTTTCCTCTCCATTTCCCATCTCTTCTTATACAACATATACAACTGCATCGCCACTCTCGCATCCTCAATTGAATCGTGTTCGCCTATTTGAATCTCAACGCCTAACAATTCATGCGCAAGTTTCTTGAGACTAGGAGTGCCTCCTTTCGATATCTGACGAAAAGCTTTGTATCTCGAGGTGTCTCGCAAATATTTTCGAGGATGCGACAAGTACAACACCGCGAGATCGTGTCTCAAAGCGTGACCAACCAGAACGCGACCTTTCAAAATGTCCGCCACTTCCTTCTGAACAACCATAAAGTCTTCTCCATTTTCCACCAGCTCCGGACGAATCCCACTAACCGCCGTTCTATAATCCACAATTTTCTCCCTGGGCTTAACGTATTTGTCATACACACAATAACCATGTTTATTTACAATTGACACTCTAGCTAACATGTTCTCTGTGCCATTACCAATTCCAACCATCTCGCAATCCATAGCAACCTGCTTTGTCAGGATCTGTGTTTCTTTACTTTTGACATCATTGTGCTTTGTATTTTCCTTCTTGGTCACTTCCTCTTTAGTATTTACTTGCTCCTGAAAGTAATCAATACACTCAACTAATACTTATATATGTGTAGATATACTTGTACATACACAAAACACTACATAAAGTACATACGTGTATTGGAAAATAATGTTTAGATCTTGGATGTCTATTTTGCAAAGTAGTTTTGTTCTTTTCTTCCTTGTTTTGTTTCTTTTCTTCCTTACTTTTTTCTGTGTTTAAGGTGGACGACAAGGTCTTGTACAACTCCCAATTGCAACCAGATGCTTTGCGTTCGGTGATTGCAACAAGTTGCTGTGGTGCTTTATTTTTCTTCTTCTTTTTCTTCTCCATGCCAATTGTCGCATTATCCATCCTAGAAAAATAATCGAATTTTGATTTCTATTTGATCACTATGTTTGTGTAAGCATCTACTGCCAGATTAAAAGCATGCCTACTTAGTTTCTAACCTTAGTTCTATATATACAATTTCAAAAAACCACAAATTGTCAATGCGAGCAGATTTTTCCGCAGAGAAATGACGTTTGATTATTGTTGATATAGATTCTTAAACTTTGTTTAAATACTTTTTATAATTTGTGTCTGCTCATGCCTAATAATTAATTCACAAACACATATATACATGTATACACACGAAACTACGAGAGACAAACACATGCGCGCACATTGTGACAAGTACGGTTTTCAATAATTATGCCGCAATTTCATAGAACAATTATAATCAATTATGTAGAATTATGGCAAATTGGCTCCTTACCTGATTAACGACCAAACGACGAAACACACAAAGAAAACAGAAAATATTACACTTGACGATATCGGTGTTTCTGGATGCGGAAGTTGATTATTAACATTCATTGATCATTCATCGAGGAAAAAAAATCGAAAATTCGCTTATATTTACAAATAAGATGAAGCGAATTATTTTTTGAACATGCGCGAAACACATCTCGAACTGTGCAACCATGATTGCCAAGTTGGATGTTTTTATGATGTAACGGAGATTTGCAGCGTCTGGTGGCGTAAACGTGAAAGTTTGACTGATCGATTTGTCAAATCCGAGCGATCGACCAATTGGATGTGCCATTGTACACTCGGCCTGAATAAAAAAAAAAAAAAAAATTCCATTCCTTTCTCTAGAAATGTCTTTGGACACGACTACCCTAGTACCGTTCGTGTCCTTTGTGACATTTGCAATTTGTACGTTGTTCCACCTGTCTACGTATCAAGAACAATACGGAAAGACCTGGAACCTGGTGTGAATGTTTTTCAATATTTTTGCATAATACTTTTTCGATGCGATGTATTTTTGGTGAAAGCGCACGTGAGTGTTTTTCCAACTTTTCGAACGTTGTGACGAGAATTCCGTCGTTGACGCGTTCTGTCGCGAGGAGGAGCAAATTTTCGCTCGGTAATCGACATATGTCAATATTTACATGTTAGATAACAATGCAATTTCTATTTTGGTAATAATCGTATGGGAAACAATTTAATAATTTAACGTGTCTGCTAATAATCTTCTTTTATCGTTCGTAACTTACGACTTAGGCGATATCGCGCACAAATATGTTGTTTCGCGCGTCGAAAAATTGTTCACGTCTTTCGTGAATGACGTGTTAAATTTGTCGTGATAAATGCGCAATTTGTATTGTTGCTCAATGTTCTAATAGTCGCGACGGAGCGTCACACTTGCGCGAAGTTTTGATGACGGTGCAATTGTCACGAGCACGTTACTTATTCTTATCTATCACGTACGTGTGTGTTTGTTTTTTTTTTCAGCGAAAAAAATTTCACCTCCGACTTCCCGCTTGTGAAAAACGTTTTTTTTTTTTTAATTAATTAATATTCAACATGACGGAGGACATGTTAAGCGCGGACATCTGCAGGGTTTGCAGATCGGAGGGCCTTGCGGATCGACCCCTGTTTCATCCGTGCATCTGCACGGGCAGCATCAAGTGGATACATCAGGAATGTCTGGTCCAGTGGATGCGCTACTCGCGCAAGGAATATTGCGAACTGTGCGGCTACAGATTTTCGTTCACACCTATATACAGTCCGGACATGCCGCGTCGTTTACCTCTCAGAGATGTTGTAGGCGGTCTGTTCTCCAGCATTGTCACCGCTGTTAAATATTGGTTACATTATACACTGGTGGCGGTCGCGTGGCTAGGAATTGTACCTTTAACCGCACGTCGTACGTACAGGGCTCTTTTTAGCGGTCCTATCGATTTAGTTCGCGTAAGTAAACTTTGCACGCGTGTATGAAAAAAAATAAAAAAAAGTATATGTTAATTTCGAGAAACCACACTTGAGCGTACAAGAAATTGAGAAAAAATTTTCATATCTCTGTGTGCTTACAGATAATGTCTTTGCCAATGGATATGCTCTCCACTGAAAATATTTCGTCTGATATATTTCATGGCTGTTTTGTAGTTACTTGCACCTTGTTTGCATTTATTGGTTTGGTATGGCTGCGAGAGCAGATTTTACACGCGGGTGGTCCCGACTGGCTCGAGAGAGATAATGTACAGTTACCGCCAGTTGACAATCCGCCACAAGCAAACGCACAACAACAGCAGCAACCTCAAGAACAACATGCTGTACAGCAAGAAGTTCAGAATAACAACAATGTTCCTCCTTTTATTGATCCGCCTATTCTGCAAGAAGGAGAGTTACATAATGAAGGTACAATAGTGCCGTATTTTTGCTTCGATATTGTGATAGTCGTTTCCACCAATTCCTAGAAGTGCCTAGAAGTTCCAATCAGAGTTAACAGCCGACACATACTTTCCTCGATATTTTTCCGCTCGCGAAATCCGCGGAACACTAATGTATCATAATAATTTTAAAAGTGTAAGATGTTGCGATGTTAAAACAATGTAGCGGAGTTGATTGTAAATATGATGATAAATCGTTTATAACTTATATTTAAGTAATTAATCTTTAATTAATTTTTTTCTTAACTATTGGACAGAATCTAATCATTTAATTTTAATTGGATAGATCAACGTCCTATATATCGAGAAGATAACAACTTGGCCAATCCACGAATTGGCGAACCAGAGGAACTGGTGAGAGACATACCAGTTCCTCCACCACTTCCAATCAGAGACGATCTTGATGCGGATGGTGTGCAAGCAAATGCTGGCGAACGTTGGGCAAGAGGACGAGCGGTAGGTGTGCAAGCCCATATAGTCGGGCCGGCGCAAGGTGAAGCGGAGGAAGCCAATTGGAATCCTATGGAATGGGACAGACCTGCCGAAGAACTCACTTGGGAACGTCTCTTAGGTTTAGATGGATCTCTTGTCTTTCTTGAACATGTCTTCTGGGTTGTATCCCTAAATACTTTATTTATCATGGTAAGTATTTTATATAACGTGAGATATATAAAAAAATTACTGATTTTCTTTTTCCTTAATTTATTATTTATTTTCAGGTATTCGCTTTCTGTCCATATCACATCGGTCATTCTACAATAGCGGGATTAGGCTTGCAAGAACACGCGGCAGCGTCGCACTTCGAAGGCCTAGTGACCACGCTGTGTGGTTACTGCGCTATTGGATTTTGTTTCGTGATTCTTCACACTCTCGCCGCGCTGTTCGGCTTACAGCGTTCTCAGAGAATCCTGGGACTTTGTTACGTGATCGTCAAGGTTTCCCTGCTCTCCGTTGTGGAAATCGGTGTACTTCCATTGATTTGCGGCTGGTGGCTGGACATTTGCTCGTTGGCGATGTTCGACGCCACGCTCAAAGATAGAGAAGCTTCGTTCAGACACGCACCTGGCACGTCTATGTTTATTCACTGGCTGGTCGGGATGGTCTATATATATTATTTTGCGTCGTTCATACTTCTCCTGCGTGAGGTTCTACGTCCTGGAGTTCTCTGGTTTTTGAGAAATCTCAACGATCCCGATTTCTCTCCCATACAAGAAATGATTCATCTTCCTATACTGAGACATGTGCGACGATTAGTCGCGTCTGCGATTATATTCGGCACCGCGATTTTACTGATGCTTTGGCTACCGGTGAAGATTCTGAAATGGGCTTGGCCAGGATTTTTGCCCTACACTGTGACTGTACAAAGTGAAGCTCAGGTAAGAAAAGCGTGACAAATTACGTTATTTCATTTATTTGTTTTTTGTGTTAAATTTTCTTATTCCTCAAACAATTTGTAACAACATTATCTCAAACACAGGTCAGCGAACTCTCGTTGGAACTGCTTCTGTTGCATGTAATCCTTCCCGCGTTACTGGAGCAATCACATACACGCACATGGTTGAAAGCACTCGTGAGAGCATGGTGTCGCGTAGTGGCGTGGATGTTGGATCTGCAGTCATATCTCGTGCAAGATCAGGCGGACGATCCTGGACCGGCAGTTGTCGACGAACCGCCACATCCGGATTTAGGTGCCGCGCATCAGGCACTTCTCGATAGGCAAGGACCCACGGGATTTCAACCTTACATCAGACCGCGGTGGTTTATCGCTAGACTGATCGGTCTGTTGTTTTGTGTCTGCGTGTCTCTTGTTGTCGCCAGTCTAATAGCTATGACGCTGCCCGTGTGGCTCGGACGTAAAGTAATGGCGTTATGGATGGTTGGTGCGCCCGCCCCATCGCCGCCCGTGTTGCCGCCCACGTTAACTGGATCCGGTAAGTCGCGCGAATTCGTCCATTGTTTTTTTTGTACAAATATATATTCTCATACAAGTAATTTTGTTTATTTTCATTGTTTTAGAAGGTGGTGAGACTATGATGGATTCTCTTTCCGGACGAGTGCATGAAGTGTACACGGTAGCGTGCGGAACGTACGTATGTTGGGCCGCGGCACGAGGTTTGGCGCTGGCATTCTCCTGGTTACCTCGCGGTCGAAGAGCCATCATAGATCGGATCAAACACTGGACGATTCTCGGCATGAAAGCTTCCGTGGCATTCGTTTTACTTATAGGAGTTATACCGCTTCTGTTTGGTCTTCTTCTTGAGTTGGTGGTGGTAGTTCCGTTGCGCGTCCCACTTGAGCAAAATCCTATTTTATTCATCTGGCAAGATTGGGCTTTAGGAGTATTGTACACGAAGATAGCCACTGCTGTGACCATGATGGGACCCGAGTGGCGGCTGCGTCTTGCCATCGAACGCGTATACAATGGCGGAATAAGGGAAATGGATTTGAAATTTGTTATTAAGGAAGTGGCGGGTCCCGTTATATGTTCCTTTGGTCTTGCTCTCGCGGTCCCTTACGCCATCGCTTACGGGATAGTTCCGCTTCTCGTAACGAATCTGCAGACACAGATTCTCATCGCCAGACGTCTGTATCCTTTTCTTCTTTTGGTGAATCTGTGCGTTGTACTCGTCTACTTTCAGATACGCCAATTCAGGAGATTATACGAGCACATTAAGAACGACAAATATCTCGTTGGACAAAGGCTCGTGAATTACGAACATCGCAGCAAATCGCAGCAGTCGCAGAGATCAAGCTAACGGCGTCATTAGACGTGAATATCACGAATGGAGAAGACGAATTAAGATTAGCTTCGTGTACATTCTTTAACAACTATGATGATTGATAATTTATATTTTAGTCTTGCTCTTATTTTTAATATTATAATTTATTGATGTAAAAGCGATACCTCGAATAAATCGAAGAGACTGTTATCCAACGTATCGCTTGTCATTTCAACGCTTCGCTAACTTGCGTTAATCAAAGACAATCAAAACGCGCTAAATCTCGATTAACACGCTCGCGATTTGTCCTCCTTGAATTGACATCTCCTCTACATTTTGATGTGTGCTCGCGACCTATTTTCTTTTTTTTTTTTTTTTTTTTGTAACTTTATCTTATGTGCTTAGAGTAAGACCCGGGATACGTCTCCTCCGTTCCCGTTTAGTATGGATTTCAAACGAGACACAAAAATACGTCAAACTTGATAAAACCTCGTCTATCGCCTTTTTTTTTTTTTTTTTTTTTTTTTTGTATAACTTTGATACCACTATGCGGCATGCGGTGTAATAAAAACTCAATAAAATATACTTTGATTGATAAATTGCCTCGTTATTTATCCGCGTGATGATTAAAACTTTAATGAGTTTCAATATATCATATATATATTTTTTGTTATTTTATTTTTTTTAAAATTGCCCTAGTAAGAGCCATTACAATGATTTAAAAAGTTTGCGGTACAATAAAAAAAGTTTCGTTCACAATGATGATTCCTAAAATCTCTTACCAGGAAGTCGAGATATTTAAAACTTGTAAAATGGTCAATGATTGATCGATTTTCATTTAAAAAAATGAATAAAACTTATATATATACAAGAAAATATATATACAATTCGATCTACTCTTCTGACGGCGACAGAAGTGTCGCTCTTAAACGTAATTCTTTATCGATTTTCTCCACTTTTATCGATACGAAACTAAACAAATGAATTATCTGAAATAGATTTATCGATTATGTTATTAATGATTACACCGATTCGTATAACGTATGTTTATTGTGCAAAACTATGTGTAATACCTGTTCACGAGGGGGATCACCGTTCCAAATAAGAGTTACATCCGATACATTGTTATCTACAGTATAATCTGTATCAATGGAAACAATTCCTTCTACGTCCTTAAAGAATATTTTGAACTTTAATGCGGTGTCACACAGTAAAACTTCTATCTTATCGTCGGCCAACCAAATCACAATAGCTTTAGCTTCAAAACTGCCCGCAAATCCTATCGCATAAGCGTGCAATACTTCTATGGTCTGATCCTGCGCCAACTCCGCGCTCTGCTTCTTCACATTGCAATTGAATGCAATTCTAGTGAAAAAGCACAGAATTTGAGATTAAAGCCGTTTCTTTTTTTTTTTTTTTTTTATAATTTTATGAAATTCTTTTACACATATGTATAAAAGTTAGTGTCGTTAACATACTTAGAGCATAACTTCGCGGTCCACTCCTTTGGCAGAGGTTTATTCGTAATTGTTGCATATAGCAACCGATGAACTATACAATCTGCGTATCTCCGAATAGGAGAAGTAAAATGTGTGTAAAACGGCATGTTCAATGCGTAGTGCCTCAAGTCACACGAAGAAATGTCAGATGTGCACACGTATTCCGCGCGCTGAAATACGAAAAAACTTCATCTATCTCATCGTATTCTATTCATCTAATTTTATCGACGCGTATATAATTAACAGCGACTGTTATAAAAAAAAAAAAAATAAATGCACAGAATTAATATTTGAGCGTGTTCTCACCATCATATACTTGGAACACATATTCGTAATAGCCATTATAATAGAATTCATGGAATTGCTATTCGCTGGATCATATTCGGGATAATATCGATCGATGCTAGAATTTAAGGTGCCGGCCGTCGTGACGTCCAAATGAATCCCGATGTGTTTCAATAAATTTGAAACTTCCTGAAGTCTCCGCTTGGACGGATCTCTGTGTATACGTAAGAAAGCTTTCTTTGGAATTGCCTTGTACAAGTGTGTGGCTACCGTCTTGTTTGTTAATAACATCATCTCTCTTACAAGTCTGAAAAGATACGTGACCTTTTTTTAGTGCAAATCCAAATTAATTTAAGTTTTCTTACAAACAGCTTAATAAAGTAAAAATTAATGGTATCAAAAGAACACGTAAAAAAAAAAAACGAACTTGTGACTATCCTTCGTTTCCTCCAGATAAAACTTTGGAAATAATTTGCTTTCCTGATTGTTCTTCAGACTACTGTCCAGCCATGCGCGCAACTTCGGTAAGTCCAATCTGAGAGCGCCGTTGGCGAATCGTTTATCTTCCAGTTCTTCAGCTACTTCGAGCAATCTGTTTACCGCGTCGGATATCATTGACAACGTGTAATCGCCTTTTATATCAAGAAAATCCTCCGGCCGCGATTTGTCAGGATTTTCGATCATATCTTGAACCGTCTCGTACGACATTTTGCAGCACGATCTTATGACAGTTTTTGCAAAACGATAATTTACAACATCGCCATAAGGGGTCATTTCGTATATCACGGAAAAAGTTAAACTATCTTTACCAGATGATAAAGAACAAATTTTACACAATACTTCCGGTAACATTTGATAAGCTGTGTACGGCATGTAAACAGTAGTGGCTCTACTTGACACAGCTTTGTCTAGCGGAGAGAAAAACTCTAAGTAATGCGTAACGTCCGCTATATGAATCCCAATCTGAAACGAATAAACAAAGCAACAATGTTTCGAATATTTTTTTTTTTATGTATCGCGACTTAAAAAAAATACAGCTTAGGTAATTACTTCATAGTTTCCATTGCTCAAGACTTTACATGAAAGTGCATCGTCTAAATCAACGGCATTTGCGGGGTCTATCGTAAAAACACACTCGTGTCTCCAGTCCTCTCTATCTTTCATGTCGTCACGTGTTAAAATATAATTTTGGTCTGGAAGTTCTTGTAACAAATCTGTTGGATACGGTGATATATCCAAATTGTTGCTAAGTATAATCGCCTCCATTTCTGCATTTATTTCGTTAACTTCGCCCACTATTTTAAGTATTCGACTGTGTACAGAAATACACGTGCGGTAATAATTATAAGAACGTTATACAAATAACAAACACGAATACACGTGTATATGTGATAAATGCGTTCATAGGATGTTCAAGATAAACTTACCCCGTTGGGATAAATTGCTCCCAAGAATCAATGCTAACAAACAAAATCTTATCGCAAGTTAATTGCTTGCACAATGAACAGTCAACAGTGTTAAGAGATATCTTGACTCTTGGTATTCTAAAATCTCTCGGAGTGATTATTATCGCATTATTCTTCACATTCTGTTTGTGCATAACTCCAATTGCTGTTCTCGGATGTATTTTCTTCAGTATAGAGACAACTTTGCCAGTTTTCTGTACCGTTCCATCAGAAAATAATTTCCAATCTTTTTCAGGATATACAGATGCTACAACTAGATCTCCTTCAAGAGCACGATTTCTATCATATAATCCGACGATCACTAAATCACGCTCATCTTTTAGGCTCAAGAATGCGTATTTCGCATTGGTGGGATTGATTCGAATATTTCCCGTTACATATCGCAAATTGTCAGGCTTCTGAGTTCTTAAAAGTTTTTTAATTTTTGTCTTGGAGATATAATTCTCAAACGTCTTCTTAACTTCTTTAGATTTCTTATGATTTTTGGATTCTTTTCTTTCTTTTAATCTCACTTTTGTATTTGTTTGTTGCTTGTCATCATCCTTATCTCTGTCATCGTTGTCGATACATCCGTTAACATTGTTCTGGAAATAAAAAAAAATTATCAATAATTAGATGCAAAGTTTTGTTTTCTTGTTTAAACAAGAATAATTTATTAGACTCATCGCAAAAAGCATCGAATGTCACGCACACTCTGTTACATGAGACTTAGATTTAAAAAAGAGTTTTAGATTATACTTACTAATTGAGGTGAATGTTCTACAGTATCGTGTTTATTAACATTTGTACAGTTTGACTCAACATTGTCAGTCTCCGCAGTCTCGTTGCAGCTTGCATTTTCAGACTCGTTATCCGAAGAAATTGTGCAAATTGACGAGAGTTGAGCAACAAGATTCACCATTTCGTTATCTTGAAAAACACGTAATTCATCCGTCATTATATCTGACGATGATGATGACGATGACGATTCCTGATTATCGTTACTAGTTCGTTCTTTGTCGGACACTAAATTAAAACCATTTTCACAAGATTCTTGTAACACTTGCTCGTTCATCTTGTAAAATTTCTATACACAGTTCTGTCGTCGACGATTATAAAATTAATAAAATTATAAATATATCAACAATTCGAAGTTCTATCACGAGAGAGTTACACATGAACTTGTAATCCTTGTGTATGAGTCAACGCTTCATACGTCACGCTCGCTTACTGGTGAGTGTTATCTTGGTACACGTGCTTGTAAAAAAAACAAAGAAAAAGAAGGTTAAATACGTTAGATGTAAACAGAGAGAGAGAAACTCTTATGGGCCTGACCCCGCTCTCAGGCTTCTTCTCCGATTTAACTTACAATAATACCATGGAATACGTTTGAGGAATTTAACCAATTGAAACGGTGAAAATCATGAAAAATTTACAGCTCCGTTCGATTGTTACTCGCAGAGAGTAGCCGAGAGATCGGCCATCCTGTTGCACCTTCCCTACGCGGTGTTCGACCAATCAGGAAGTTGTTTAAAATTATTGCGACAACAAAAAAGGATGCGAACGAACATTTCGTCTTTCTAATCCTGAACGAAATGGATTTCTTTCGCAAAATTTTTAATAACAATTACGTTTTTTTCTAAACTTTTGTTATTCTAATTTTACAACAAAAAAAGCTCTGAGGTAGCTGTGCGCAAAATTTCATTCATTTTCTATGATTAATGTGAGATATATAACCACTTCTCGTTGAAAGGTTTAGCGCGTAACGGCCGAGAAAGCTGGCCGCTACGGGATAAATTTCAAATGTAATACCAGGATCGCAGAAAGTGGCAGGAGCTTTACCAGGAGCTAGCCGACTCGGCCGGTAAGTTAGAGGTATTAGGAGAGTATAAGTTGAAGTAAGTGGCACTGAAGTATCCGTCGGTAACATTTGTTTGTCGGTAACATTTGTTCGTCGGTAAATCCCGGTCGATAAATTTCAAACTTCCTTACCGGGATAGCGATTTCGGCTGATTCTCTGCACCGGTGTGCCACCTTCTCTCCGGTTGTATCGACACTCGAAATGTGCAGTCGATGCAGATCAGCCGAAATCGCTGTTACTCTAATTTCAAATAACGGCTCGGTGAAACAAATCAAAAGAAAAAAAAACCAAAGAGCCTGTGGTTCAAGCTGGCGGTAAACAATTAAACAACTTAAACATCCTTGTACGATCCTTTACGATATTTTTTATTGCACATTCATTATTTTACAGTTTGCGTGACAGAAGATGACGCGAACGGAAGATTCAACGTGCGCCTAGTCACGATCGATGTTGTTGATATAAATTACAAATGTGTGAGACCGGCGCATGCAATTTGACTCAAAACGTAACTTTCTTGAAGAGATATTCGTTCATTCTCGTCACAAAAAGATTTTATTATCTTTTCTTAAAGTTCATCAAAAGATTCGTTTTTATTTAATACACTGTTCAAGGGTTCTTTGCCACCGAGTGATTGAGTCCAATGTTCAACATCCAGCTCTTGATTGTTAAGTTGGTACAGCTCTCAGTAGCATTCTTTAGTTTTGGAAATTAAAAAAATAAAATATAAAATACAAATAGCAGTAGGTAGATATTACATACAGAATAATAATTACTTTTTACGTAATGTTGTGATATTTGGCTCTTTCTCCATGATGGACAAATCTGACATATTTGGTTGAATACTGAAACATCTGTGCAGCAATGACATAAGTGACATTGACGTTCGAATGTCTGTTACAATCTAAAGTGGGTTGTAAAAAGTATTGTTTTGCAGACAAATGCGTCGAGACTCACCAGCCAGAACCTTTTCCGCGGTTCCTGGAATGTCTCTTTGACCACGTTGCGGTCATCATCCATGTTATCTTTTAATTATCAAAAGATCAAGTCGTAAACGTATTTAAACGCTGCAGCAACACATACGATAACTATTTGTATATCTAACAATAAACTCGAATGAACTGCACATGCGCGAGAGTGATACCAACTTATCGTCCCCGGATGTAAGACGTGGTGCATCATCCCCGAGATGCGCAATGTTTGACCAATCAGAGAGTTGTTTCACGCATTGAGACGAAAGAATATTTAATAACAATTACATTTTTGTAACTTTTAAAATTTTGTTATTCTAATTTTACAATAAAAGCTCTAAGGTTTTTGTATGCAAAATTTTATTCATTTTCTATGATTAATGTAAGAGATACAATCATTTTTCGCTGAAGGTTTAAGCGTGTAGCGGCCGAGAAAGCCGGCCGCTACGGGCTAAATTTCAGATTTATTACCAGGATCGCAGAAAGTGGCAGGAGCTTTACCAGGAGCTAGCTTACTCGGCCGGTAAGTTAGAGGTATCAGGAAAGTATAAGTTGAAGTAGGTGGCACTAAATTCCCGCCGATAATATTCTCGGTCGATAACGTAGTGGTATCAGGAGACGATAAGTTGAAGTAAGCGACACTGAGTATTCGTCGGTAACGTTTATCGGTAAATTCCAGCGGAAAAATTCAACCCCCGTACCAGGATCGCAGAAAGTGACAGGAGCTTTGCGGAAGAGGTGTGGAATGCTCGTGGTTCGAGTCTTCGCTAAAAAAAAATACTCCGATTTAGCAAAGATTCAAACTGAAAAGTGAAAATATAATCTAATTCGGATTGACCGTTCTCGTAATATCTTTCTGATATTAATTAACAACTTGATTGGTTGTACCGCCATTGTGCGCAATGATCTCGCAATTTTGCATCGTGGCGCGCAAGATTTTACAGATTCTTGCGGCAACGCCACCTGAACGCGTTTCTTTCTTTTTTCCACTTGTCTGTCACTTGTCTCTTTCTAGCTTGTTGTTGCACACAGAGGAATAAAATCAAAAGTATGTTGTTATTGGTTGTTGTGCGTATAATAAATTATTAAAAAATAAATGTGTGGTAAGTTTGTACATACTCTGCGGTTTCAGTGCAAAGAAAAAGAATCACGTGTATCGATGCGATATCACATTTTGCACACACACACAATTCGTGACGTGCTAATAATAATAAACAAATTGTGCGCGTTCTCTGTGCAAATCTCGCACCTTTGTAGCTGGGCAGAAACGCGCACATTTTTTCAGCAATGATTCTTCTGCGTTCGTCTCAACGAAAACACAATACTGGCGAGGCCTGACATATGTACCTATCTACCTGTCTACTTCGCGCACGTGGGGTTGTATCTATCGCCCGAACGTAAAATGATCCGGAGCGGCATGTTCCACAAGATTGTCACTGTATTCGCGGTGATGCTCGAAATCTCGGCTACCAAACACTGGTACGTCACGGAACATGGAAAGATTCAACCGCAGGTATTGTATTTTCCTTTCTGTATTCTTCTAATTTGTTGTCAGAATTGAGAGCTTTTGTGTTTTCGAGAGAGCAACTTTTGTTTTGTATAAATTTATTCGTTAAGAATTGTTTCGCATGTTGGCACTTGATCGTGTTTATTTCTTCATGTTTCAGCATGACAGCGTCTTCGACATGCGCAGACCTCACGATCTCCTGGCGTTCCTGGAACAAGAGAAACGCCTGGAAACCGCCAATGCGATATATAAGAAGATTACAAGAAAGGAGGTGTCGATTGACAATCAGTTTGTGGGCTTGGGTATGGCCGATGTGGAAAGTTCAAATTCTGAATGCTTTTTGTGGGAAAAATCATTGACGGATGTTGATGTTCATGCTAGTATAGTGGTGGATTATAGATTCAGAGATGAAATAAAGTAGGCATCTCAGATTGATAGCATCTAATTAATAATAAGAGACCAATGAAAGAAATAATTCGGTAAATGTTAAACACAAATTATAAATTTTGTTGCAGTCAAAACGATTACATGCTGTACAATGTTGCAGCCAACAGTAAACAAATGGATCCGGATTGTCAAAAGACATTTTCATTAGATTTTAGTATATACACGTTTGAACATCTTAAAGTGAGTGTTGTTTCACATTAAGAAACAAAATTCTTTCGTGTGATTTTAATTGAAAATTTGCGATGTTTCTTTTCTTACGTGTCTAACGTGCTTTTGCATGTTGTTGTTTGTGTATCAGGCAATGCAAAATCGGAAGAATCTTACGCAACACGAAGAACTCGGATTAATGAAGTATTTGTCACTGGGTACTGATCTGAATCAGTTTGGCCATCAGCTGGCCTACAGCTTATCTCGCAACAAGACCTCATGGATATATTTAAATCTGGCGGCAATTTATTGGCGGATTAAGGGCAACGCTTACAATGCTTTAGAGTGCAGTCGCAGAGCAATCGTGTCCGCTCCAAGGTAATAATAATAAGAAAACATCTCCCGTGTAGAAGATACTAAAATAGAGAGAAATGTCGTCGGAAGATACGCCTTGTTATTTAACTGATCTCGTAACAAAAACATTATGTACGTGATTAAGGCAATTTCGTGATATTCCTCTTCTGACTACCGCCGGCATTTTACACGCTGCGAAATATTCTGGCGAAGCCGCAATTATTTTGCACACGGCGATAGATTATAATCCGACAGAGAGCTATCATCATCTGGCGCTGGGTCACATCTACACGTCTCTTGGCGACTTCGATCGGTCTGCGGCGTGCTACGAGAATTGTTTGAAGTTGTCGCCCCATACCATAGAGGCCAAGCAAATGAAATATGCGATATTGTGTCACCGACTATTGGAAACGACTTTGTTGCTGTTCGATCAGTAAGTTTTATAACAGCGCGTTGTGTGTTCTCACTTTTTGGAAAAAAAAAATGCATTGTGTTTAATTGTTACGATTCGAATCACAGACGTTTGCGAAACGTTTTGTCGGAGATACATGCGTATCACGACTGGAAAGAAGAGTGGATCAAACTCTACGAGCACATGCTTTGGGAGCAAAATATTAAGTCTACAACGAGGGAGATCAAACTCGCTTTTGCGCGAGAACAGAATCTACATTTGTACGCGATAAATCCAATCGAAAAGTCGATTCATCATATGGATAACAACGTTTTACTGTCCTACATGGATTTAGGAGATAAGAAAAAGATAGCCGAGAACATGCTGCAAAATGTGCACCTCAGTCTGCATTTGTTGAGAACTCTGCAGAAACAGGTGAAAGAGCACAACAATCATGTCAACAGAGGTAAGAATTAACGCAAGCGTGTAATTGGTTTATTTTGTTGTTGTTGTTGTTGCTTGATAATATTTGTTTTTTTCACAGACATGATGACGGAATTCAACGTAGAATACAATCATTTATTCGCATTGCCAACGAAGAGGCCAAAGTATCACAATGTAGAAATCAAAAAAGGAAACGAAGACTTCGAGGCTGATGATTGGCCAAAGATATCAGACTGTGATGGTTCTATGTTAATATTCGGGGATGGAAAGCAATATTTACCTATTTACTTGCCTCCCGAAAACAAGGGTTACGCGTTAGTATACGATTTGTTTGTTTTTTTTTTTTTAATATTTGATTTATATACAAAATGTATTTGTCTAATGGCACGTATTTGTTTTTTTTTTTTTTTTTTTATACACTAGAACACATTTGTTTATAAATGAGCTGATCGATATAGAACCGTGGAAGAAACATCCGTTACCATGGCGTCCACCGACGTGCCAATCACCCAATTCGTTTGACGAAAAGTACATCACGTACGCGTTATTAGACGTGGCTGGGCAGCAACATTCGTCGGATGCTTCTCTGAAACCGTTTTTGCACAATTTAGTTCAAAATGTAGATCTCGCGGAAATTGGTCAGAGAATTTTGACAGCAATTGAGACGGTAAAATTAATTTTTATAATTAATTTTATATGCGGTTTGTCTCGGAAAGAAAAAAAACTATTGTTGTTATAATAATCGAAACAGAAAGTAGCTGCCCCGTGGGTGTTGTCCATGCTTGCGTCTTTGCATTGGAGAATAACGGGGAAACCTCGTTCAGCCTTGGACTGTCTTCAATTAGCATTGGATAATGTTCCTAAAGAATTCAAAGATGTACCTTTAGTTAGCATAGCTTCGATTCATCATAAAATGGACTTGATCGATGACGCTTTAAGGATTACGGACGAGGCATTGCAAATTAATGCTGTGGAGGTATATATAAGCGCTGTGTTTATTAAATTTCACATGTGTCACAAACATATGTTTTAAGTAAACTTTTTCTCTACATGTGTAATGGCTCAACATTAAACAATTTTTGTTTTTTTTTACATCGGTGAAGGAAAACTCTCATCTTGTAATAATTTCTGTAATTTTCAGCCAATGACCAATTTTTTATTCGGTATGTTATTGAACGTAAAAGGAAATTGCACGGGAGCTGTGCATTACTTAAAACAAGCCTTAAGAGTAGATTCGCAATTATATGACGGTAAAGCGTTAATGTTTCTAAAAACACTGGCCTGTCGCGAGAAATTTAATGTCGTCACGGGTAATTATCCAGGTATGCGAATTTATGTAATTTCTACTGTTTTGTAATAAATTTTTTATGTATTTTTAGATACGCTTGATGATTTTAAATCACATTTTATAATTTTTTAAAAAAATGTGTAACAAAAGGATTTAACTTTGCTTTGTTTTTTCTTTACTTAAAGTTGTATATACACTTTTTAATCGCGCATGTAAGAGAAATTCACACTTTGGAACTTTTATTTTCTTTTATCTTCCTCGCTCACACACACACACACACACACACATTTTAGAATTTTTTGTGTTATTTTCAGTTGATTAATTTTGTTCACTTTTGATGGTTCACTGTGTTCTAAAAACGCAGGTTATTGCGATGAGTAATGACAAATGTTGTCACAATCACAGGCTGTGAAGAACAAGGAATTAATTTAAACAAACATTCTCTGAGTCTGCCTTCTATATTACTTACCAAGTACAATTTCAAGCAAGCAGCGAGCGATGCATTTTTGTACAAACGACAAGAACAAGGCAAGAATTGCAAACGTGTCAACTACGCCTCAACAGAATCAGAAGAAGAAACAGGTATTGTGCATTTTTCTCTCGCATGTGCGTGTGTTTTTCAGAATGGATGTTTTGTTTGTTTATCTTTTTACGAATCACTTTAAACATTTGATCTACGCTTGAATTGTACCTGTTCTGTTTCTTGCTTGAAACGAGTATGAGATGTAGTAACCCTGTCTTGTCTTATTTAGCGCTTTGTTTCTTTGTATTTAATAGTATCTATGTAATAAAGATTGCTGTAACTTATTTATGCATTTTTTATTATTTCACCTGTTGTGTAGATGTCGTCTTTTTTTTTTTTTTAAGTGGATTTCAATTATTGGACACGATCCAAATGATCGGATGTGATATTTAAACTTTCTGTTTTTTTTTAACGGGCAATTATCTTTCTTTAAAATAGAGACTATATCATCGTTCTTTTCCCGTTACGTCAACTAATAAATTAACAATCGTTATTGCAGAGGAAAACTGCCGGAGTAACCGCAAAGTCGGGTTATTGGACGTGTTGTACTATAATAAGAAAGAAAATACGCGTCAAGGTCTTATAGATTCCCTTCTAGTTCCTAATAGCGCAACTGAGCTACACAATCCGCATGTAGATACAAGTAGAATTCAAGATGACGTAAGCGAACAATTTCAAAACTCTCACACGGCAAACGTATTAAACGCCGCGAACATGTTTTATTTTTTTTTTTATATCTTTGATTCGCAGATTTTTCACGTAAACGTGCTGACCAATCAGTACAAGCAATCCAAAGTAGTTAACGTGGATAACTTTTACGCCTTTATAACAAATTTCATGCTGCACGTGTACACCGAGTGGACTTTCGGCAAGACGTCTGTTAATCAAAAAGATTCTTATTATCCGAACAAGGACGAGTGCGACGAGCTCAAGTACGAAGACTGGGCCGCTTCTCTGTTCGTGTTTCACAAGTTTACACGACGGAACATGTCGTACGTGAATACATTCTGACAAGCTGGTGAAAAACGTACGTTGTAAAAAAAATCGAACTGTTTTGATGAGATTTGATTTTGTGATTTCAGGATCGAGGATGAGATCGAGACATCGAACGATGACATTCCGAATTTACAACCGACCTGCGACAAGGACAGTTCTGACATGAATCGCGTAACCGAGGTGGTGCAATTTTCTGAATCATTGCAGCACAAAGTCGAACTTAATATGGCCGAATGGTTGATCATGATAACCGGAACGCAGAACGACACACTGCAAGGTCTTGGGACCAAAATTGCGTTTGCTTTGCAAAAGGTAATGAATTCACAATTCTATAACCACATGTTCTTGGAGTTTATTGTTCATGTACAAGCAACAATTGACAATTCTGTCAAATTAGCATTACGCTTCTTGGACCTTGGCGATAGCCGCGTCGATTTACTGGCGCGTAATAGGCGACAGTCGCAAAGCGCTGGATTGCGTGTGGCAAAGTCTGGAAAACACTCCCAAGGATATGCAGGACATACTTCTTGTAAATCTGGCGTCTTTGCTAAGTTCGCACAATTACATTCACGAGGCGCTCGAGGTTGCTCAGATTGCGTTGTCGATCGGTCCGGATTTTATAATAAATCATTACGTTCTCGCTAATCTTCACGCTGCTTTGGTAAATTGTTAAACGTAACGCCGATCGAATACAAATTAAAAATTGCGGAAAGAGATTTGCATTTGATGCATTTGTTTTTTTTTTCTCTTTTTTACAGGGAGATTTCGAGGCTGCTGCGAGATTTTACATGTCCTCGCTCAAGCTCGATCCGAATTTTGAGCCAGCCATCACGAGGTTGCGAGTGATATTGTGCTTTTTGCTGTTCGATGATAAAAAATTTGCTATGAGCGAAATAATGCAAAATATTTTGTGAAAAAAATATGCGGTTTCAAAAAAAAGTTGACAGATTTTAGCAACAAATTTTTAAAAGTGCCTTTTTATATTTCCAAACACATAAAATTGTGAAACGAAAAGAATTATATTGTTGAAAACAAATGGGGAAAAAGTTACGATAGATATATTTATATAAAAAAAAAAAAATCTGTGATCTTTATATAAAGTTGGAAGAAATGAATCGCATCTATACTTGTTACATTTTTACGACGTAGAATTGCGACGAGATCTCCAAGTTGATCGTTACACCAAATGTAACAAATACGAGCACATTATATCTGTTTAGAGATGTTTATTTATTTATTTATCAATACTGTGTTTTCGTCGATGTGACAATTTCTTGTTTCGTCGTAAAGCAATGTTACTAGATTGTGAAAAGCGCAAGTTGAATAAAAATGTACTTTGCAACGTTCTCTCTTTGTTCTTTCTTTTATGCTGTAACCCGATACCAGAATTATTTAACTAACGACGCAATACACGTGCTACAGTCGAAAGCAACGTAAGTATTCGCTACATCGTGAGTTAGAATCAAATTCTGACTCGAATGTGCGTCGGTATTCGCAGTCGAATTTTACATTTCAGGACGCGGACAGTGAACACCGGCTTTAGTCACGATCGGTCATGGAAGTGTTCTCTTTTATTTCCCGAGTCACCTCGCCGAACGCGAAATTTGAACTGCAACGCGCTCGTTCAGTTCTGCTCACCTTTGTCTGAACCTGCGTTCGATATTCACCGCCGAATAAAACCAGACGGTAAGCGTTGGTTATCGGCAAGACGCAATACTCTTATTTATATTCTATACCAAAAAGTAATAACCGACGAGTAGAGCGAGTTTGCTTCCATGCAATCAACTTTAATACAACTCTTTATACGCATACACGCTTATAAAAATATATAATAGATGATTTTTATATAAAAAGAACCTTTCTATAATTATATTCTCTCCTTATAAATAAAAAATTAAATACGAGAGTAAAAAATTAAATACGAGAGTATAAAATAAACATGCAATGATTGACACTTTGATAAGCACAATGATTGGCACTTTAAAGACTTCGGTCAGTTTTGTTTCTTTTTCAAGAGTGTCAACTAAAAAGACTCTGTCAAATAACGTTGCCAAAAAACAATACAAATTAATTTTACTACAACGTCAAGTACGTAAAAAGTATCCACGAGAACAAAAAATGTTAACGACTAGAAGAAATCATCAAGTGCCAATCGTACAAAGGGGTGCTACAGGTTCGGTTACCCTCGCGTACAATATTTTTACACATGTGTCGTCTTATATATATATATATATATTACGTTCTTACTTATTACAATTGTTACATAATTCCAACAGTTTGGAAGAAAGTTTAAACGACAATGAATCTTATGTAACACGTTCTTGCTATTAGTCGCGAGAAACAAACGTCCGCGCGCTCGGAAGGTTTTCTTCGTGCCCTCTATTACAAAACGGTTTCCAGCGTCGAAGTGCGATGTTATGGAAACCCCACAATAGTCGCTGTCACACGCACAAGAGTGTTATCTCTAATCTTGTGCAGTGGCCAGCAGCTGCGTTGGGGTCCAACATTTTGCCCCCGAGCTGTGTTTATCCCGTGACATTTCGGATCACCTTCTGTGGACCACCACCTTCCGAACCTCGTGCGAGATTTCACATTTCATAAAAGCGCATATCTTTAGTATTCTTGTTTTTTTTGTTAATTAATAAAGAAGCACGAAAAGCGGATTACATGATGGCGATTTGCCAGTCCTACCGCACTAACAACAGTAGCAATAATCAGATTAAGAAAAGTGTGCGCTTCGACTAAAAACTATGACCTACATTTGTTAAACAAACGATAAAACACACACACACATACACAGAGATTCGAAAAAGCGCCGCATAATTGCTCGTAATCTTGGGATTTAACGTAATTAGTTGCTAAGGTCGTTTGATTGAGAAAATATATATTTTTTCTACAAGTCGAGAGGACAAGGAAACGCTCGGGGTAGTTTTGAGAGTGGACACAAATGACGTTTCGGCAATCAATGACAAGTTTTTAATTTCCATTTTCTCTGAATATAAAATATTTTTACATACATAAAATTGTGCTGATTTTAACTCTGGAAAGAGATCATTTTTACTAGGTAGATAATTTATTTATTTATTTATTTTTTTTTTAAACGGGCGCGCAGTAATTAACGTAATATCACCGTCGCCCAACTGCGAGACTATTCTCGACGCGGCATTTAACACTTTTTTTTGTTTGATCTAATGTCAGTTTTGCCGCGCGTTTGTCATCGTTTTTCATCATGTGCAATCGTTAAAGAAAGATGGAACAGTAGTCAAGGATATAAACGTCACGAATGAATAAATAACACGCGCACGAAAGTCCAACTACTACTCTCTTGTACTTTCTCTATCAGAACACACTTTTTTCCCCGTACTCTCAATATTTCACCGATAATTAACTGAAATAAAATTTCTAAAGTGTGCAATTTTTCCCATGCACATATTTCGACGCGGTGTACTGCACGCGCGCGCGCACACACATATGTGTACGTAAATATATATAAATTATTATTAAAAACAAAAATTATACGTCGAGAGAGGCGCAATTTTTCAAGCCGCTCGAGCTTCTTCGACTTTCGGAATTTCAAGAAAAACCTTTGAAAAACCAAAAGATTTGAAGTGTAAGTGTGACACGACACACACACACATAGAGAGAGAGAGAGAAAGAGAACGTGAATGGAAACGCTTTTTTTTTTTTTTTCACGGCAAAGTAAGCTGTGGGGACTGGACATCTGGCGGCTCTATAGACCTGTAGGACAGTTGAACTCGAATACAAAATTCATCGTGTTCGATTTTCCTAACTGTGCACACTTAGACGATAGACCTACTCTGCCGGCGAAGCGTTACGCTAAAACCCATTCGTATTCGTCGCTCCGTCGACGAGAAATCGAATTACCCCCGTGGTGCGATTACGCATTGGGGTAAAAAAATCTCTGTCTGATCACCACCGAGCGAAATATCGTCAATTGCTTTCGAGGCTCTTAATTCGCGCGATCTTCCCAAAGAATTTTCACTCAGTTTGCGGTCAAAATGGAAGAAGTTACGTGTTTCACCGCGCGAACGACATTGCTCACTATTTTAAGATGTCATTTGACGTAATTAGGCTGAGGAGAAAATTTTTTTTATCTCTTCAAACGATTTTCTCGACGATATTTCGTTTTGTTTTTCGCGATTGAAATCTTTGTCAAATTAAAACAGAGAATCTGAATTTTACTTCAATTTAAAAATAGAATCGTAGTAGAATCAATTCAATTGCTACGTGTTCTCGTAGAACCACATGAAGTCACGGATGAGCACCAGTTGACGCTTTGCTTTTTACTCATCTCGTCGTGTTATTTATTTATTTATTTATTTTTTTATTCACTTTGTGTGTCGCATGTTTCTCTTCGAGTGTCGTCGATACTTGGGAATCGCGAGCGATTCTTCGTCGACGACGTGAAATCTTCAAATCGACGAGGAGGAGATAGCGTGGAACTTTTGCGAGAAAACGGCACTGTGTCGAATTTTCCTCCTTCGCGAGTGGCGTCTCGAACGCGCGCGAACGTCAAATTCACGCGAGAGTCCGATCTCCTCTACGCGGAAAAAAAAAAAAAAAAAAAATTCTCGTACATTCCTCCCGTTCGCCACCGATCGAGGGAGCACAACTGCCGATACTATCCTAGTTCACCCTTGGTTATATAGCGCCGATACCACGTGGTCATCTAATCCATTGACCAATGGTAGGGTGACTTTAGACGGGAGGGGACCAATAAACGTTCCGCTTTAAGTTCCGCAGAGAACACGTGTTTCTTAGGAAATAAGGGCACAGGAATTACGGAACGAAATCGTATTTGCGTTTATATACAGAGGCTGGCCGATCGAATGGCGGCGACGATCCATCCATCCGTGCACGTCCTCAATCTCAAACGAATCGCGTTTATTATTTTAAAGAAGCGCGCGCGCTTTTGTCATCCCGCGTTTGTGTCATCAAAGACGCAATTTTTTTAATCGCGAAATTTGCAATAAAAAAGTTTACGCGGAAAATGTTTTTTTGTCTCTTCTGATTTGTCCACACTCTATTTAATTAGCGCGCGAGCATCGATCGAAAGAAAGGGTACCAACAAGCTATTTCAGAATAGCCGGAAATATCCTTCCCACGCGGACACACGGCGCGCGGAAAAGTCCTCGCATCCTTTACTTACGGGAGCAACTGGCACACATAACGTTTTGTTTGATGATTTGAGCGAAATTCGCTCCTACGCAATTGCACACATAAGAGTTTAAGCTCTCTGACCTGCTCGCTGTTGTTGTTTGTCGCAGTCGGCGATCAGCGTCGCATCTGCTGAACGTGTGTGCACACATACATCATCATAAATGATATTGCGAAGAGGTGAATCCCTAAAACGTTTCCCACATACATACCGACGTAAAACAAGTACTCCGTTCGGTAAATAGTGGGATCCGGCATTAGGTCGACCTAAATTTTATTTATCGCTTTCGGCGATCATTGTCCCCGGCGATCGTCCCCGGTATCCCAATCCCGGTGAATTTTCTTTTTTCAACGCGCGCACAACGGCGGGTTTTTTTCTCCTCCGGGGCGGGGGATCTCTTCGGGAGATTCAAAAATCTCCTGTTTTCTTCGCTCGCAGCTTCCTAATTCTATTTGTTGCGCAACTTGCACGTCCTAGTCGCATGTTGAACAATCGAAATTTGCAAGCGCTTTTTTAACGCACGCGTTTTTAACCAAGTGCGAACGCGAGTAAGTTACCGTTCGATTGTTGCCGATCGTTCGCTATTTTTCTAATTAATGTCACTTTGTCAAATTTTACGTTGCACACATACACATATACAATATACACACACACACACGTATACAATTACACGTTCAATATAAATTTTTCTAAACTGTTTGTATTGCGTCTAACAAGTGTTAAAGATTGCGAGATCGCTGATTGTTAGCGCCAAATGTTTTAAACAAACAGAAAGTAAAGTCAAATAAAAGAAAAACAAATATTGAAAAATGCAAAACGAGAGAGTAAGACCTAATTTCTAATGGACTTTTCTATTTTTATATAAATGTGGGTGAACATTATAGAAATGTCGTGGGGGGGGGGTGGGTCTGACACGATCCGAACAGAGGGCATTTAAACGCAACGCGAAGAAAAAGAAAAAAAGCAACAATATTGTCACTTTGTAGCGTAAGCGCCAGACTTTTTTTTTTTTTTTTTTTCAGGTGCTCACAAATAGAACATCCTATTTGCGCGTCTTAAAATTGTTACTGTGTTGTGTATAATCGAGTTTCGCTGACTCGCCGCAGATAAGCGTGATGATTTAATACGCGTGTTATTATTGAGTTAGCGCGATTCGAATGGAACTCG